TCATTTTGATTATTTTGTAGTGTAATTGTATTATTGTATCGAGGATTTCACCATGATTATTAGTTTCAAGGGAAAAAATGAAACCTAAAACAGTAACTAACACATGAATTTGGCCAACCTAAAGAACAGTGACCACAGAGTGAGAAAACACCAATGTCCCTTCAACGCCTGTCGTTCGTTGTATTACAGAACCTTTTTAATAGTAATAATAAATAAATAATAAATAAGTAATAATAATAATAATAAAGTTTTATTTCAGACAATATGCGAACATATAGTACAAAAATTCTCGGCTTATTTAGTTCCAAAATGCTTCTTTCTCCGTACAGGATTTACATGTAAATTAGTAATCTAAAAGTGTATGTTCATTTCATTGAAAAATTGTACAGCATTTACTTGGAAGCAAGTTAAATCCGCGCGTAAATTCATGTATAGGTCATCTAATATAACAGGATGATTAAAACCAATGATAAATCCAGATGAAATTAAACATTTTGATGGAAAGCAATTTCGGTAGCCCACTGATTCAAGCAGGCCGCCAGTATGAAAGTTGTGCACGAATTGATGCGCAAATTTCATCCTGATCTAGTTGTTAAGTACTGTTTGAACAGTGGGTTGATAGCACATTAACATTAAAGTTAGGATTAGAGTTAAGGTAAGGATTGGAGTTCATCTTTAGGGTAAGTTAAATATTAGAGAGTTAGGGTGTTTTATTACCACTATATTAGGTGTATTTTTCTTGTAATTGTATAAATAAGTGAGGTTAGTGCTTCGTTGTACACATAGATAAAACCGTCTCGATAACTAGGAAACTTGAATACTGATACCACTCATTGTAGTTGGGATGTATTTCTGAGTCATGTCAAAGTAAAATGTCGTCTTTAATGTGTGTCATTATTACTGTTATTTATTATTATGTGTATTTTTCGCGTAAATAAACGGTATTTTGGTAAAGAATACACGGTAGGTCCTGTAATCCAATGAGTGGTATGCGTTCAAGGTTATTGGTGCGTCCATACATCGTGGTAGCTATTCTTTACGTTTGCCACTGTTTTTTTACTGTTGTTGTGTGATTTGACTTTAATCTCGTAATCAAATTGTTATCAGTATTTTTCACATTTAAAAGTTTTATTATGTCTTGTGAGTTGTTTGACAAGTGGTTAAGTAGTATGAGAATTTTTAAGGTGTAAACATAGTTTGGTTTGTAGCGATTTAGCTTTCGTTACATTCACTCTGTGTTTGTCCGTGTGTGTGTGTGATGAACAAAAAATCGGTGATGTGTTGTAGGTATTATTACTAGTGAAACCTAAAAGTCTGAGACATTTTAATTCTTATGTGTAAGAATTTATGGTTTTCTGATGATGATGCTACTGTGATGTTCTTAGTCTGTATCTCTGTTGTTCTAGATTAATTTCATTTATTTGATATAACACCACACAGTGAAGCAGTATCATTATTATTATTATTCACTGGATGGTACTTCGAACACGGTCTGCTATTGAATTAATTTGGTGGATGGTGACTGGCAGTAGAATCCAGGATGCGAGTTTTATCCCATTTGCATTCTGCGGTGAGTGGTGGTGCTTTCACTGAGCCCCGAACTCAGTACCCATTGCTTCAAATGTCTAAGCGCTATCCATTAGACCTCAAGAACCACCTCTTGAGCAAGGGGCATCAGTTATCTGTTTTTATTTCAATTTTGACTTGCCCGTTGATTGATAGGGCCGAAATGTTCAGCTTCTGTTGACATCTAGATGAAGAGCCCCAGATAGGACTAAATGTGCATCCTGGATTCCACTACTGCTAGTCACCATCCACCAAATTATTTCAAGGTAATCCTCAGACATCATTGAAGCGTCCGCAGTAGGAGCCGACTCATCAGCTCAACGGTTAATACAGTTCATTCATGAGTTAGAGACCTACGTAGGGTTGTTAGATTGTATCATAAATAGAAAATTCGATGGGAAGTTGAACACTAATGTCTACAGAAAACGCCACACATTCACACTGATATATCCAATCCCATGTCAGTGCAACGTTTAAGTGACAGGACAAAACAGCTAAATATAACACCAAAGAAAACCTACTCCAGGAAGTGAGGAAATATGACAGTTAGTAATTGACCAAGAGATAAATAGCAAATTATTATAGCAATAATAGGACAACATGAATAAGGAATTTAAAATGTCGTACGTGCTTCCATACAAAAAGCGAATCTGTTAAACCTTACGTAAGACTCCTAGCAAGGTAGGAATACTAGTAGCATTCAAAAATTCACTTCGAAAAAAATGCCACGTCGGTTAATCAGTACTGTTTTTTTCATTACTTCGCGTTCCTAGTGACTTCAGACTTGAGTTCTTGAGGTTCCAGTATCTGTGGTGTTTTTTTAGGAGGGATGGAGTCGCTAGCCGCACGCCGAATTTTCCCTCTTTTTTGGGCTTATTATCCCCTAGTATGTTTAGGAGTACAACGGCAGGCAATCGGACCACTTGCGTGGTTGGCGAGAATTCTACCGCACTCTAAACCACTGGCACTGTTAAGGGTTCTTTGCAACCCATTAAATAAAATAAATTACAGTATCTAATACACTGCAATGGTTGTTAGGTTAAGGTAATAGGCTGGAGACAATTAGACTTGCGAAATCAAGACTAGTTAACCCTGATAAAATAAAGAATTTAGGAAAAAGGATCAGCTCTAACACTATACAGTTACGCATAACCAGTAATAAAATCTAATGTAGGGTAGAAGAGATTGATAACTAAAGCTTTTTTTTACTGAATCAAATAAGCGCGCGTTTAATTGGAATAGCTCGATATCTGGACATTCCACTACCCTTAAGACAAATGGAAGCGAAGGTTGAGAACTATAAAAATTAAGTTTCGAAGTTGCATATAGTAACAACTGATGTGATGATTATAAACAATAATTATGTATTTGGAATGTCACCCACATCTTGACTACCCAACTACCATTGTGTGCTTAACTTTGATACATAATAATGTACCTGTCTGTGTTAGTCGACTAATTTTCATCGTGCAAATAAATTTGACTACATTACACTTGTCTTTCCCAAATAAAGGACTTGGAAATACAAATACGAACAGATTAATTGGTAATGTCTGGTGAACATTTTATCACTCACCAGAATATATATATATATATATTATAACCTAACATTTACCCAATCATATTACTTATAAGTACGTCAACGTCTTTCAACGAATCAAAAGTAAAATGAAAGATCACTGAAATTCTGTTTGAATAAAGTAACAATTAAGTTAAAATTTAGTGCTAAATGTGTCACTCTTAATAAAAAGATTACAATTCCATTCATGTTACAAGTTATTTCTATTATTTAAAATCCGATTTCTGATTTGCAATTTAACGTCTTAAAAATATCCATTAAAATTTTTTTAAAACGAATCGTTACTGAGCAAAGAATCTTCTTTTTGATAACCTGGTCTTCATCACGTTCTACAGTTACATATCCATCCATAATAGTGAACGAATGAATTAGTGTTATCAACAACATTAATGGTGTTTAAATGACATCGAATCAATAATGATTATATCAATGGATTACACTTCGATAGCATCAACACAACAATACACACTGAATATCAGACAGGCAAATTAGGAAAGATAATAATACGAATTCATGAATTTATAGTCTCCAGTGAAGGCTGATCAGGGGAGTAGTAGTGGCTAGCTGTACTTACTTCTTTTGAAGACAAAGCACTGGTGGTTTCACGCGAATCGCGATAGCCTCTACTGTTTGGAGTATGCAGAAAAGGACTATTCTCCATCTGTAAATAAGAAGCCTTTATATATACAACCGCAATTCAAGGGTGATGCACCTAGTGAAATAATTACTAACAAGTTAAGAAAATCCATTCCAAGAACTCTTAATTATGGTAAACTACAAGTCATGTTTTCTAAACGGCCGATGGTGATTTCGCGATTGAAAGATGAAGTTCTTAGACTAGTCAATTCTAATTGTATCTACCAATTCAACTGCATTTGTGGTGGAGCGAGTTCTGTTGGCCGTGGCTCTAGGAACTTGATTTTTCATGCTCGTTCGGGAACATCTACCAGTGTGGCTAAGTGAAGGTGTAGTGAGAAGCATCAACAGCTCGATATTAGACGACCACCTGGTCCAAATCGGCCACAAAGCCAGTATTGAAGAATCCTTCTCCATCATCGGGTACGAAATAAATTGACGAAACATCCAGATAGGGCATACTCCAAACAGTAGAGGTTATGGCGGTTCGCGTGAAACCACCAGTGCTTTGTCTTCAAAAGAAGCAAGTACAGCTAGCCACTACTACTCCCCTGATCAGCCTTCAGTGGAGATTATACATTCATAAATATTGCAAGTGCAGTTTGCAGTTCTCTTGACAACTGTTTGGTAGAAGTTGAGATTCTTAGGCGATTGGATCGAGTCCCAGTTGCTGAATGGTCTATGAGCCCGCTCGTCTTGTCACAGGAAGGTCCTAGGTTCGAGCCACAATGGGTGCGTCCTGCCAATGAATTCCAAACTAGGCCGAAACAACTTTCCGATACTCCCTGGTTTTCAATTTCTCTCTAACTGGTATTCAGCTGTGAGCACATATGTGTAGTGATAGTGGTTAATGTTTGCTTAAATAGAGAATATTTGTAAGTATCTATACATCATCATGATCATATCTCTTTCATTTTGCTAATCCTGTGTAACGCTTCATCTGATTAACAATTTGATTAGATTACATATTCCAGTGGGGTTTGTTTCATCAAGTATAATGTTAATGTTAGAGATAACAGTAACTGTGACATAGCTACTTAATTTCTTATCTTTTTATGGTAACGATTAATTCTTGGTAAAATCATTCTTAAAAGTCTAAGTGTTTAACAAAATAGATTAGTCTGACATAACTGCATTACTATCTCTGTCTCTCTGCCTTGTAATCCTTATAAGAGAAAATTTATTTATTTATTTCCTGAAACATCATTTCTGTCTATAGACTGTCCAAACTGGTATAACATATGCAGCACAACCAACTCAAGTGAATCGTGCTTTTGGGACAAGGAAAAGTGGTTTTCTGCTTAAAAAATCCGATGGAAAGGTTAGTTAGTTGAATTGTTAATCTAATCTAGCCTTGAATTGATTATTACTATTATTTTGAAGTTCAAAAGCCATAATCTTCGAAATAACATGTGAAGTTCTGTCTGAAAAGATTTTTTGTCACTTTCTTTTGTTTACTAACAGGACACGTGTGGATACGTGTATTCTGTGTAACGTTTATGTACATCATACGCCTGCTTGTGCTGTATCACTGGCTTGTGTTAGCAATAATTGTATTGCTAACTTATGTGGCAAAGCTAAAGTTTAGACACCAAATTGGCACGAACACGCACCAGTGACCTTGGAGACAGCCATAACGTTGAAAGGTACATTTAGTCTTCCAACCCTCACTCTTGTCCTTTTTAAGACTAAACTTAATTTAAATGTATTCCATACCTAACCCTAGTCTACCTTGAGCCAACCCTAATATTATCTCTCTAATTATTATTATTATTATTATTATTATTATTATTATATCCTTTAACTCCTAGAGGAACATAGGGCTTCAGCCGCGCGTCTCCATTGCCTTCGGTCCTCTGCTAGATTTTTCACCCCGCTCCAAGTCTGCCCACACGCTTTCATCTTCTCTTCACATGACCTCCTCCAAGTCACCCTTGCACTGACGACCAACTCGCCACTTCCCTTTTGGGTTCCACTCGAGGGCTTGTATAGTGATGTCACTGATGGTTTCCTCATAATAATGAGTTATACACTTTGAGGAAAATCCTAATGGAAAATGGATTTCCACCACGTTTTATAGATAAGAATATACATTCAAAGCCTACAAAACGTGACTTATCAATCGCTCCCAAGAAAATACTTTACATGAGCTTAGAATTCGAAGGGGACTTAGCTTCCGATATCATGAAACGAAGGATATCAGAGTCCCTGAAAAGAACATTCCCTGTTGCCTCTCTGAGAATAGCTTTTACTAACCGATTATTATTGTTCAATAACCTGAAGGACAAGATCCCAATGTTGACCAACTCTATGTGCGTTTATCAATTCACCTGCTCTTGTGGAGCTAGGTATATCGGTCGTTCGACTCGAGTTTTGTCCAAGAGGGTGCAAGAACATCCTGCATGGCTACGAAAAGGTGGAAGTGGAGCAATAAGAAGCGCGATCATAGAACATCTAGTCGATAATGATCACCCTATCTCTATAGCCTCCGCCTTTAAAGTCATCTACAAGGCGAAGAGCAATCTACCCAAATCCCTACGTACCCGACTCATCTGTATCGCTGAAGCTTTGGTTATTGAAACAGAAAAGTCACATCTCTGTGTACAGAAAAAGTTCGTTCAACCCCTCCAACTTTCATGGTCTTAATCCCTCTATGCTAAAATATGATAATCCCCAATCATATTTTAGCTCTACCAATTTTTTATTTTTCATTTTGTCTTTTCAATTTGTATACTCTTCCTTATTAAGTCAATTGTTATTATTACTATTCTCACTTTGAACTGTCCCCGGTATTATTTCACTTGTTCCACCTGTCATTCTAAATCAATTGTTTTTTACAACGATAAATTCTATGCTATTAAATTTCACACAATATTACGTAACGTTTTTGTTTTATTCGATTTGTCTACTAATCCTATAATTGCACATCCTTTTTCAAGTTCTATCCCTCCTATGAATTATTCTATATATGACATTAATCTGCTTTGCCACTTGACATTTAACTACGATTATAATCACAAACATTTTAGTTTTAATTGAACTTCATGTGATTATTATTATTATTATTTTATGCATTCACACCTAAGATTCAATTACCTCACTGGATATAACATCTGAGAAACCATATATATACGACTGTACAGCTTGATGATAAATTCGTTGAAAAGAGTCTCTTCGCTGAATCACTTGTTTTGATTTTCCTCATAATAAACATATTTATATGTGTATATATGTATTCATGGGGAATATATGTATATATATAAGTCCAACCTATATGTATATATATTTTTTGCAGACGCTCCAATCACCAACACATATCACCCCCACCCACTTTATAATCTGATTTTTGACCACAGACTAAATAATAAAATATAAATCATCGAAGGAAAAGAAACTTTCGTGAGTGTATGTATGCTTGAATATTTGTGTGTTTGTGTGTATGCGTGCTTGCGTACGTGCAAGCGAGCGAGTGTCTCTGTTTGTTGTACTTTTATATACACGAAAATATATAATCAATGGAAATCTGTTGTTTGTTTGTTTTGTTTTTTGACAATCACTTTATATTATTTTTCATTCTTTTCCAACATATCCCATTCTATTTCATCTATCATCTTCTGCTGTTATTGTATATAACTAGTTTTTAACCACTGAAACATTATTATTATTATTTAGAGTGGAACAAAAGGCGTCAACAACACATCGAGATTTCATCCTGTTTTCGGTAGTTGTCTTAAGCTGACTGCCTCCGCGATTGTTCATAAGCTTTCATCTCTTCCCCTCACGTTCTCTCCTTCAATGTCATCCTTGGACCTAACTAAGGCCAAATTGTCGTTTCCCCATTTGGATTTCAGTAGAACGATGGCCTGATACGTGGTCTTGGTGGGTGTTTATTGGTCAGTAGGTTGTTGGTTGGTTCGCCGTCTGTCAGAGTTACATGCTGTTAATCCTTTCTTACCGGTCAGTCATCTGATCTTCAGAATTATTGAATGAAGAAGGTAGTTGTTGATAAAAATCTGCTGAAGCCTGTCAGAAATTCTGTCCATGATACGCAAAGTTTTTGCGTCATATAGAAGCATTGGTTGACTTGACATTAGTGTTTAAAACCCGGATCTTGTTCTTTATGCTAGGTGCAGTAGATTTCCAGATGAAATAATCACATAGTTATTATCTTTGTTTTTGACACACTATCTCATGGTTTACTATTACTACTACTACAGTTGATGTTCACACGTTTCATGTTTTTGGCACTCGCTAATACAACGTATCTGTCAACACAAAGGAGCTGACATTTCCTCTCTCTCTCTTCTTATTATTATTATATCCTTTAATTCCTAGAGGAACATAGGGCTTCAGCCGCGCGTCTCCATTGCCTTCGGTTCTCTGCTAGATTTTTCATCCCGCTCCAAGTCTGCCCATACGCTTTCATCTCCTCTTCACATGACCTCCTCCAAGTCACCCTTGCACTGACGACCAACTCGCCACTTCCCTTTTGGGTTCCACTCGAGGGCTTGTATAGTGATGTCACTTAATGGTTTCCTCAGAGTATGGCCAATCCACCCACCTCCATTTCTTCCTGCTTATTTGTTGCACAATCGGTTCCTGGCTGGTTCGCTCATTGCCAGAGATCCCCGTTGCTGATCTTCTCTGGCCGACCATCTGATCTTGAGTATAGAGCGAAGACAAGTGTTAATGAAGGTCTGTAGTTTGTTTGAGATGCTCTTTATGACTCGCCAAGTCTCTGATCCATCCGTATAGTAGCACTGACTTCACATCGGAGTTGAAAATTCGGATCTTATTTTCATTTTCATGCTGAGTGCTGTTGACCTCTACACAGACTTGAGAGTAATGAAAGCTTGTCTTGCTTTTCCGATTCTGGCTTTGATATCCTCGTCAGTTCCGCCTGTAGTTGAGACGATGCTTCCCAGGTAGGTGAAGGAGGCTGTTTTTTTCAGGTTCTTCCCACTTATGCTGATTGTTGTCTGTTGTTGTTGTTACTGTTGGTGTTGGCTAGGAATCTTCATCACCTCTGTTTTATCTATGTTCACCTGAAGTCCTATCTCCTCTGGATGCTTCTTCTGCCGACTTGTTGCTTTTCACTTGCATATCTTCCAGTTTGTGGGAAATCAGACATATATCATCGGTGAAGTCCAGATCCTCCAAGTATTTTGTGTGAGTCCATTTTATGCTTGTTTCCTCATTGCCCGCTGTCTGTCGCATTATCCAATCTACTGCAATCAGGAAAATCATTGGCGATAGTAGACAGCCTTGCCTCACTCCCGTCCTCACTTCGAAGGATTCCGTAAGTTTCCGGTTTTGGATTACTTGGCATGCAGCATTGTCGTATAACTGTTGGATCTCGCTAATTAGGTTAGTCTAACCCTAACCTGTCCCTAGCCAAAACCTAACCTAAAATTTACCAGATATCCTGTTTTAATATCATAACATTATGCATATTCTTTTCATGAATATAGTGCCATTTACTTGGTTTCGCTAACTTGTTGACTGAGCGTTCCAACGTACCTTGGTACGTTCGCGCCTCTTCGGTGCCTAATGTTTAACTTTGTCATTCATGTGCTTGTACAACGAATATTGGAGGGTCACAATCGAATAGTGTAGAAAATTGATACTGGTGTTTTTGTGTACTAATTGAGAAAAAATTGAATTATTATTCAGTACAGTGTTGTTCATCAGTTGATATCACTTCATGAACCACCTAATATCTAAGAAAATTGTTTTAGACAGAAAGTTATATGGTATTTCTTAAAATTCTGGATTGATTTGTGGGTTTTGATCCATTGCAATAGATGTTTTCTCTGAATCGATAGAGAATCATTGAAAACCTAGGGGTACTGAGCACGTTTCTCGTTTTAGTTTATGACTTTTCAGCAGTGCACATCTATGACATTCGTGACTAAAATAGACATATGCCAATCTTTTAGATCACGATCACGTTGTGTGTGTGTGAGTGTGTGAGGTTTTCGGTCTTCTATCAATGGTCAGTGGAAGGAAAACTATTATCACTGTTAAAGTTTCCTAGTTCCATTTTGCAGAATGGAGTATTAGATGGTTTTTAGTGCTTTGTTACTGAAATATACTGAAAAAATCACGATGTGATGAAGAAGCGAAAGAGAACTCCCAAATACTGAATACACCCAGAGACTACTATAAAAGTATTGCGCATAGCAAAACCAATGCCTTCTTCGCGAAGCAGTGTTACCTAATATAATGCTGGGTTTCAAAAGTAATCCTTGAAGTCTGTGTAGGGTTAGTTTTGCCTACAGATTGTCTTTCCTCAGTACTAACGATACAGAGTCTTGGCTTAACTATAGTTAAAAACAGAGGAACTTGACTTTATCTGTTTCTAAAACATACAATTACACCAAGAAAAGCACAAATCCATTGTCACTCAAGTAAAGACAAAAACATACCGAACAGTATATTGAAGGAACAGACAAAATGAACAGTTAATTAATTACATATACACACAATAGAGTGACAGGAAATAAAGAACATTCAAGGTCACATCACGTGGTGAAAGTTACATTAAATTAGCCAATAATCGCGACAAAGGGTCACATAGTATCGATTAGCTGTCCGTCAAACTATCTATCTATCGCGATTAACACTTCGACTATTGGTTTTTGCCACGTAAGAATGTGTAGACGGATGGTCAGCATCCTCAGAATATTAATAATCATTGGATTGCAGACTTTTGGTAAAACAAATGAAAATCGTCTGCTGTGATGCGAAGTTCTATGCTGATAAGTAAGTCGGTGTTATTACTTCGTAAGTATCCTCTAGCTGCTTTTTGTTTTGGTCCCTTAACTCTTTTATATGTTGGACGGAGATTGTCACTCACTCGACACTGAACAAGTATAGGTCAAATTGTAGTTGTATACGCTTAAATCAAATTCCTTGTTGTGAGTCTGCATGGCGTATTCATATATATATATATATATATATATATATATATATATATATATATATATATATATATAAAGACTGCTTTAATAAAACAAATTATTTCTTCCAGGTGAAACGAGTGTGGCAAAGACGTCGTGTACGTATCGCTGACGGTGAATTATGGTTATATCATGCAGATGAAACAAAACCACCTGTGCGTTTAACTTTATTAACCTGCCAGGTGAAATTACCTATGGAAAATGTTGAGAATGATTCCGCATTAAATCATAGTACTAGCGGTAATCAACATTCAGTCTGTGAAGGAAAACTGAACTTTGATCTTGTTTCAAGTAAGTTTGTGTCATCTTTTGCCGTCTTATTTAAAAAAAAACATTACTGTTCGTCTACTGCAGTAACATTTAAAGTTCAAATTTCAAGCCGGCAGTAGTATGGTGGTGTGATCTGACAATGGGTTCCATCGGAATATTATCCTCACAGTAAGAATCATTGTATTTGTTGGTGTTATCGTCTGAATACTATTCCCACAGTTCAATACCGTGTTAGCAACAGAATACTATGTATATTTGAACATTCTATTTCATGTCGTTTGATGTAAACCAAAATCACACTCTTAGTGATGGTTAAATAATATAAACTGTACATTTATATAAATAGCGGTTCGATAATTTGGAGATATACCTTAGCTTCTGTGTCTTACCTTCTGCTGTTAGAGAAGTAATTAGAACATGTATCGTTGTAATGTGAAGACTGTATTAAGTACTTGTCTATTAAATCATTCCCGAACGTATTAATGATTTTCAGCTTTCTGACACTTCAACGTGTTTTGTTATAAGGATGGTTCATTGAATTCAAAGCTCCACTTTGAGCTAATGAGTTTCAGGTTTAAATCCCACTCTACCTAATTCGATCTGGGCAACTTGTTAATATCATCGGTCCTCCGAAATTAAGTTCTGACTAAATTGAATTATAAATGTTTAGTTTCAACTTTGATCAGTTAGAGGACCATTGAAAACCAAAGGGTACTGGACAGCTCTTGCGTCCTAGTTCGGGACACTTTGGCGGTGCGCATCTACAACCCCATCAGGTACTTAATCCCAGACCTTCAGATTATGAGGCCGAACTCGCTGATCATTGATTCATTTGAACCGGAATTCAGTGGCACAATAATTCTAACTTCCGATTTTCTAAATAGTTTGGCGTATGAAAATTGACTGCAGTTACGATTGTAGTTTACTGTCAAAATAGGTTGGATTTGAGTTGAAGTGTTAATTGGTCCTCCATAGAACGTACGTATACAGGCACATAATTCACTTACAGGATGCTATAAACGTAACGATTAAAGCAATAACTTGCATTTTGAGAGGATACTTGTCTCATTAACAAACGTAAATTGTTGTTACATGTTAGTCTTTTATAGCAGAAGGAGAGAACAGTAATGTATTCAGTAATATATTCAAAATGCATATAAATAAAACACCAAATTAACGTCATTTTTAGCCTACCTTTTAAGTGAATAGCTTCATGTGATACATATATTGCATAAGGAGATTGATGAGTACGGTTAATACTAGTCATCAGTAAACTTTTGTACAGTAGGGTCTGAATCCGAGTGATTATTTATTCCGCTTGCACGTGACTGCTTTCTGAATTCTCCTTCATAATCTTGCATTTTTGGTTAGTGCTGAACTGCCTTTGTAGCACCTAGAGCCTTGGAAGCTATGTAGCTAATCAACTTAATTGTTTTGGTCAAAGGGTTGGGTTGCCTAACCTTTCCTCTCCTCTGAGCTTATTATCGGCTGGTAACCTAGGCGAAGTTTAGAAGTGTGCGTCAATCGGTAGTCGAACCCGGACCAGCTGCTTTACCGGCCTAGTTTTTTAGTCGACTATAAGCCTGGAATAAATGGGACGTCGAGTGTCTGTGTGTGTGCGGTTAGCACCTCGGTCGTTTAGAAAAAAACACCCCACGACTAGTAGTTCTTTTGTACATAAAATGCATAGACGCGTAGCATGAAATATATACGCGAATAAAGAAAAATTAACGCATATTGTTCCCCATTTCAGTTGAACTTCTCTGATTAATAACTATCACCTTTAATCATGAGTGCAACACAACAGTTCTCAGCTATTTAAATAATTAAGAAACAGATTTAACTTAGCTCCACCTATTTTAGTATAGTTATAACTGTGGATATACTACAGGTTTTTCACATGGTAGTTTAATTTAGGTGTGGTTTAGCAATCAGCCTAAGATGTACTAGTTTGATATAAGGACAAAATTTGGGCACTGTGGTAGAGTATAATTCCAGTATGGATAAAATTTTATTTTGATAAAATCACTCAGTGTTGTTGTTATACAGTAATAGTTACTGATGATCACGTTTCGAGCATAATTTATTACTGCTCATTATCACATCAAGGCACTCATATAACTTTCTTGCTTCGTTTATATACATGAGTGAAAACTGATTAGACAAGTGAATAAAATCGATATAAGGCCTCTATGTAACAGAAAGGAAGATAAAGTACGTTCGGAAGGAATATTAGCGTTATCATTAAATATACTAGGATGAGAATTAAGACGAGTGTTGTTAGTCAATCTACCATGGAAGATAAAGTACATTCTGAACGAATATTAGTGTTGTCAATAAAATACAGTACAATAGGATTAGAAGTAAGATGTTTTTTATGGTAAAATAAATAATTTGTTAGAATGTTATAATATGAATTGAAATACATTTTAACATTATTTATTATCCTCTGATTTGACTGGTAATAATATACTCCATATCTGTAGTATTTTCGTTGAGTTACTTCTATTGGGCATATGTATGGTCCAGGTTTCAGGATTCGATCCATCTCTCACTCCACCTACGTATATTACTTTTTAGACTTTTCACTGTGTCCCACCCACCCTGTTTGCTTAATATTCGTATCTTTTGTTTCTATATCATTTTCTTTGCTTTTTAAAATTATAGATAGTCGAACGTACAACTTTCAAGCAGAAGATGAACAAGAATATGAAGAGTAAGTACATTATAAGTTCAATTTCCTTTTTTTAGTCCTTTGCTTATCACCTGTTCATCAAATGTTACCAAGAGCAATGTGTGTACTTTTTATAGAGTTATTGTTTTTAGTGTAACTGATTGAGTTTCAACATAGAACCTTTGCACAGAAATGCACCAGCTCAAGTTACCACACTCCATTTATGCAGTAGTCATAGATAGAGACAGGAGAGAAAAAAGATCCAAGGGGAGGAACTGTAATAAGCAGAAATGCCCGGGAGAAAGGACACTAACATGGAAAAACATGACGGTTCAGTAGATATCGAAGATAACTAAGAACAAATGTATCTGTGTCATTGAGAGGGCGATTATGAGTCATATCAATAAAAGTCACCAGCCTTTATTTCTTAGCTTAGCCTCCTAGGGACTGCAACCAAGATAACCTACACCTCGATACGTGACTGAAACTAGCAGTCAAAGAATTCATGGATTGATGACAGTTTTTGGTTTGACCAAACCTAATTCTTTTCCAACAGAATCCTATGTTGGCTAATATTGTCCGTTGGGTAAGGCTGTGTTTCGGTATGCCTAACACTGTGTCTTAGCCATCTCAATCGATGTAGCTTCACAACCCACCCATCGATTGACTAGACCTCCTTACCTAACACTGCCTGACCTTCAATATTATTATTATTACTTTATCCTTTAGTTCCTAGGGGAACATAGGGCTTCAGCCGCGCGTCTCCATTGCCTTCGGTTCTCTGCTAGATTTTTCATCCCGCTCCAAGTCTGCCCATACGCTTTCATCTCCTCTTCACATGACCTCCTCCAAGTCACCCTTGCACTGACGACCAACTCGCCACTTCCCTTTTGGGTTCCACTCGAGGGCTTGTATAGTGATGTCACTTAATGGTTTCCTCAGAGTATGGCCAATCCACCCACCTCCATTTCTTCCTGCTTATTTGTTGCACAATCGGTTCCTGGCTGGTTCGCTCATTGCCAGAGATCCCCGTTGCTGATCTTCTCTGGCCGACCATCTGATCTTGAGTATAGAGCGAAGACAAGTGTTAATGAAGGTCTGTAGTTTGTTTGAGATGCTCTTTATGACTCGCCAAGTCTCTGATCCATCCGTATAGTAGCACTGACTTCACATCGGAGTTGAAAATTCGGATCTTATTTCATTTTCATGCTGAGTGCTGTTGACCTCTACACAGACTTGAGAGTAATGAAAGCTTGTCTTGCTTTTCCGATTCTGGCTTTGATATCCTCGTCAGTTCCGCCTGTAGTTGAGACGATGCTTCCCAGGTAGGTGAAGGAGGCTGTTTTTTTCAGGTTCTTCCCACTTATGCTGATTGTTGTCTGTTGTTGTTGTTACTGTTGGTGTTGGCTAGGAATCTTCATCACCTCTGTTTTATCTATGTTCACTTGAAGTCCTATCTTTGATGCTTCTTCTGCCAACTTGTTACCTTCAATATTACTCACTATTAATATGCTACTTAACAGGAGAGATAGAACGTAAGTAGGTGTGGTCACCAGCAGCTGGTCTTTTCTTATTTCCCACTTTCAATGCATGCATCATCTTGATGAACGTTTACTACACATGTGCCTTTACATGACCATCCTGTCATTTCGAAAATCAGTATGATTGGACAGTTTTGTTTTTATAGAGTAGAGCAGTCAAAGGTGGTAAACTATGTGAGGAATCTGTTGGTGTTTTATCACTCATTCCTTTCAAATAGCCAGCCCTATTTAAGCCGTACATGCTTTGTGATTAAGGCTATTTCATAGACCTGGTACGATTTAGATGGGGGGAGGCGGACTTCGGTCTTTCTCTCAGAATGCTGTCATACAGCCACGAATTCATAGTCCCTGCCTGGTTATTCCCATTTTGCTACTTCCACATGGATGGGACGGTCCTCATAAACTTGGAGAGACGAATTCGGACGTCTGGTGGCGGACTGGCGGATAAACAGGTTACTCAGGGGAGTTGGTACCAAACCTATAATGTACATAGGCTCCAGATTTCCAGCGGGTCGAATGATGTATGTTAATAGTCAATCATGAGAATGTAACTCCTGGTGCTAACCCACTGCCTTGTGGATCAGACGTCAAGTCAAGGGCTTGAAAAGTGGGTGACCCCCTAAGACAGCTACCTGCTTCTTCGATCTGGTCGTCCAGGCAGTATCCCAGCCCTCATAAAAACTATGAGATTTTGTGTGATGCATCCTTTAGTTGCCCATAATGTACACCAACTTTATCTGATAATAATAATAATAGCAGCAAGATAATAAACTGTTTGTAAGTCGTTTCATAAAGAAGTGATTACTTTATCCTATTTTGTTTCACTTCAATTTCAGTAACCTCTTCTGCTATTGTTACTGCTTCAGTCTAACAAAGCTATAGACTACTTTTGAATCTACTCCTCTTTCAAATTTTTTTTATTATAGATGGATAAGTGTGTTGAATAATGCAATGCAAGAAGAATTTAATAAAGCAATGAATGGAGAGTCATCACACACTTCTCAGTATGATCTTTCCGATTCACTGAATCTGTCATCTCATCGTGGCAATAGTAACAACAATAATAGTATTACTAATGGTGGCAGTCTGGCTACCGGTTTTGATTTGGCCTATTCAACACTGACATGTCAAGGGAATAATCCTGCTATCAGTTCTAAACATGTAAAATCAGATAGTTTTGGTGATAGTCTACCAGGAAGTGAGAATGACCTACTCGATTCCAAGTAACAATGAATATTTGTGAAAATATATATGCTAAATTTATATAATCCATTGGCCCTTTATCCATGTATAACTGCTTTCTATAGGAGGAATCGATGAGTAGATTAGGGCTGTAAAATGCCATTTATTGATGTTAATTGGGTTCATAATTAATTCACGAATCTAATTTCTACACAAAAAATAATGTGTACATACAAATGTAAAGGAATGGATGAACTGATTAATTTCCTCTGATAACCATTTTCACAAAATGTGCATTTGTTAGGAGGCTCAGAACAATTAGGGAAGGCAACAAATAATAATAATTTCGCTTTTATTCCAGAAACAGTACTTGTGGTACAGTGTGGAATTTTCAGCACATATCTACAATATTGCATCTAATTTCATCGGACATTTAAAAGGAGTATTACAAAAAAATATGTATAAAAAAACACAAAAACCAAAACGAAACACAAAAATAACAAAAAAATGCAAATAAAAATACCAAGTAGAAAGGAGATAAACACCAATAATGAAAATATATTTCAGTATTTGGTAGTGGAAGCTATGATATGTGTATGCATGGTGGATAGTAACAGCTATACTCACACAAGAAGTTATGAAATGTTCTTAAGAATGTTTATAGCCAAGATGATCAGTTAAATTGATTGAACTACACTAAACAATCATAAAATAAACATTTCAGGGTTTTTATTGTCAGCATTAATGCAGTGTTTGTTGTGGTAGTGTGAGTAATCCTGTATAATACAAAATTTTAAGATGGTGATAATGGATCTCACAAACAAGATTGTCGGTTAAATAGTGCCGAACAAAAAACAACCACAAAACGAATATTACATGATGGTTAATGACAGGACAATTTAGTAATACTCATAGTGATAATATAGTCGGATCCAGTACACAAAAAGAAGGAATAGAATAAAGAATAAAAAAGTAAGCCAGTGGTAATAATTTTAGGTAGCTAAGTATGTTTAAGAAGGTTGTTCACCATAGAGTACAAATAAAGAGAGTACAGGGGGGGGATAACAAGGGCCAAAATTATGTTATTAACAACAACAACAAACTTTCTGATAAGAATCCTGCTTGGTTATTATCTCTGTAGAATGTGACTGCTAATTCTGAAACAATTTACTCAGTGTAGATATCTTAAATGGAGTCTGTCTTCTAATTGACTCTGAACCTATTATTCTCCTGTTATCTAACTTCTCTTGGCACCTACTAACTCACACAGCTCAACTCTTCCCAAAAGTATTATGGTTTTATCGAAAGGAAACATATTGGCTGATTGACTTCCATTGTCATCCGTCCTCCAGCAAAGAAAGTTTATTTTTTCTGCACTCTAAACTTTTCGTATCAATACAAAGGGGGCTCTAGGCCACAGGCTCCCTAGGCTCACGCCAAAAAGTGTCTCTTTTTCGTACTTAGGGTCTGCTAGTAAGCTAAGCGAGGTGATGAACTAGACCATGCAGACAGAGAGAAGACTCTAGAAGATGTGAAGATGTAGAAGAGAGAATCACCAAGTTGGCAGAAGAGGCAATGAAGACAAGATATCAGGTAAACATTTAAAGATGAAACAAAAGCGACCACCAAAACATAACGTCAATCACCCTCAACGGGAAAAATCTAAAGGAAATCGTCTCTTTTACTGACCTAGGCAACACCGTTTCACCTACAGGCGATCCAGATGAGGTTGTCGAAAGACACTTCTTTCTTTGTTTATTATAATTAACAGCAGAAACTGCAGGCAGCAAAAATTACACACAGTTCAGTGAGTGAAATTACCGAAAAGAGTTTTCACTAAACTACATATTCTCAGAATATATTCTAAAAAAAAAACGTATTTTTGATACAAATTTTATAAAGAATAAATTTGTTTTCAACAAATATCTCACCTGTATTTCTTTGTCCTTACATTCCTTTAGTTGTTCACAAGCTAGTCGTTCACGTGAAAGTCATTTAGACAATGTAGATGCTATTTCAACAGATGCAGTTCATCCTATTGAATCTAAAGGACGTCCATCAAAAGGAGTTATTCAATCTTCACTACGGTTTTATGCATCGGATAATGAAGTCTGTGCAGATTGTAGTCGACCTGGTCAGTGAAAATTACGTTAGTGATTAATGCCGCCCTTTTCTTGCTTTATGAACAGTATTAAATAATCCGGGACAGACTTTTGTACTGAGAGTTGTGATCCACACCTAATGTCTTAAGACTTACGATAGTCATTCAGGTCAGATTACTCTCTGATCTTTGGATGATACATTTCTTGAAGCTTAGGGGGTACCTAACCCTCGCCAGTGAACTTTAGAGTTCTGAATAGTTGTGAAAAAGAGTTGAAGAGTTTATCACAAACAGCATTGACTGATTCGATTTATTTAGCCCGTTTTGTCTACAATAGAAATAAAATAAATAAATCATTGCTTTATTCACACATGATGGTTTGTGTGCGTTTAGTTATGAATAGTTGCTCTCAGGTGGGTGGCGCGTAAATGTTAATGGTAAAACAAAGCAACTTGGTTTCTTTTGACGAAAGATTGTTTAATCTATAAGTAGACTGATTCACAAACACTATGCGAGACGTAAACCGCAATGGCCTTTGGTACAGTGATTCAAAACATCTGTATTTTTACAGGATTTCATCATGAGCTGACAGTGGTTAGAGAACCATTGGAAAACCTTGGACTACTGAACAACCGTACCGTCCGCGTAGTTTGGAACTCGTCAGGGGTACGCACCCACCGGGGTTCGAACCCCGAACCTTCCGGTTACAAGACGAGCTCGTAGATCATTCAGCCACTGGGACCCGATCCAATGGTCAGTCCATGAATTTCAACTTCTGCCAATTCATGACATAGCACGACCACTGAACCATTGGATTGGGTCTCAGTGGCTTAATGGTCTACGAGCCCGCCTTGTAACGGGAAGGTTGGGGGTTCGAACCCCGGTGGGTGCGTACCCCTGACGAGTTCCAAACTAGGCGGATGGTACGGTAGTTGTTCAGTAATCCAAGGTTTTCCAATGGTTCTCTAACCACTGTCAGCTCATGATGAAATCCTGTAACGAATCAATCAAATCCCTACAAACCAATACTTGTACATCTGGATTTTATTAGTTAAAAAATTTTATTCAATAATCACAGATATAGCTTGGTGTACTGGTAACGTCTCACTTTCATCACAATTTGTATATTCTAATCTCTTCTTTATCATTCTTGTCTCTCACTCTGTAGATCCTGAATGGGTTAGTGTAAATCTAGGCATATTAATATGCTTAGAATGCTGTGGAGCACATAGGGAATTGGGTGTACACTATTCTCGAACACAATCGTTATTAATGGACGAATTGTCCACCAATCAGTTATTGGTACGTTTAAAAAAAATTGCTATCATATTTTGTTGATTTGCTTGAAACAAGTTACCCAGTGTCAGTAGTTTATTTATTCCGTCCTTAATTTTTTTTACTGTTTTTCCTTTGATTGACGTTTTTCCATTCTTTGTTTCCCGTGTTTTGAAGTCCAAGTAGCGGTGGTGTTGTCTTTACGGGGTGCAGATGCTAACTTCATATACTGAAACTTCCCAGTCTAACGGCCTTACCACTGGCTAAACGAGGTTTAGAAGTGTGTTGGCTGAGAATCGAACCCCGGACCAAGTTTTGTCTTGTTGGCTAGCATTCTGCTATTGAACTACCATCGATCAATAGTTACTTCTATGTCACGTTGATCGAGTTTGCTTGAATCACTGATGAACCAGTCCTTTGAGGACACATCACGTCAGAAAGGATTGTAAGATGGCAATCAGGTAAAATGTAGTTGTGTTCTTAGAATAACTAATAATTCAGCAATACTGTCGTCTCAGTGTAAGTAGTAAAAGTAGTAGTAGAAGCTAAGAAAGGTCGATCCAAAAATATAAACTTTGACTGACTTCTGCGGTTATGCTTTGTCAACAGTGGGGTACGTTGTAGTGACATAACTTTTAGAAACTTAATCGTTTAAGAGCGTCCATAAACAGAAATCGAATAGACTATGTGGTCATACAAAACGGATACTTTTTATGTTTTAGGTAAATATAAGGGACAACATCTTCCACTGTGCATTATCTCTTCTGCTTCTTTTTCCAACGACTTGCTTACAGATTATGTACCCTAAGCTGTGTCTTGATTGAAATTTACACGCAAATGAACGAATATTCTTGCCTTTGTCCATTTACTCTGAGCGTGGTGTATGCATCAAGTTTCCTTTTTTTCGTTAGTGTAGTATATCTGAAGTGAAAGTGCAAAGCCTAGAATACATCCCGTTATTATTTTATTTATTTATTTTTGATTACAGCTTGATTCCACATTGTATTTTTGGTACAAGTATGGAATTTTCAGCGTGGATATCGGTAGCCCAAATTTTGCAGGCCAACCATAGATATCAGGTGTGCGTCGGCGTGGGCTCGAACCTCGAACCATGTGCATGGTCGGCGAGAGTCCTAACCACTGTGCCACCGAAGCACACAATACATTGTAAGTCATACACTAGTGGCCTCTTAGTTTGTCAATTGCTTCCATCACACCAGCTGCTTGGCTTTTTTCACTGATCAGCGTTATCGTTTCGTGGTTCCGTTAATAAAATATGCATCCAGTCAGTGAACTTCAGCATCTGACTTTTCTAATCGTGACAGTTCAGTAGGTTGAACAGAAATTAACTTCAACATATATGATAATTCCCTTTTTTACAATACGTCCAACATATAGTTTCAATATTCCAAAAGACTGATTACTGAACAAAGAATATTCTTTTCGATAACGTGCTCTTCATCAGGTTCTACAGTTATATATCTATAATAATGAAAGAATTAGGGTTATTAACAACATTAATGTTTGGACAACATTTACACACTTCCTTACACATTGGGACATATTAATTATTAAAACATAAACATGGTACATTATAGACACGAAGAGATGCACGTCTCACAAAATGTTAGTTTTTGCGAGGGCTGGCATACTATCATCAGGACGCCCAAACCGATGCAAGTGGTTGTCTCAAATGGTGATCCCTGAGTTTCATCCACAAGGCAGTGAAGCAGCATCAGAATCCAGTTCCCGTGATTGTTGGTGACCAAGACAGGTGTATACACCACTCGATCCTTTTATTTTCTGGAGCTCTTAATCACCCACAGGTTTAAAATCAGGATTTCCAGCTCCCCTAGACAGACAAACCTATATGTCCAGTTGTTAGCACCAGACGTTCACTTTCTCCGGTTCATCTTTGAAAAGGAACACTCCATCCGCATGCAGGCAGTGAAAAGGACTTGTCTGGCCGGCAGAGGTTATGAACTCGTGGCCGAATGAGAGCATTTTAAGAGGTATACCTAAGTCCGCCCACCCTCAGCCGTAACAGGTCTTTTATGGGGTCATCGTGAGTGTCTTACCCCCTAATGCATCAAATAATAATTAATATGAGTAATACTGAATGATTTATTCTTTCTTTATATTTTTTGTTAATATTCTTTTCTTTCACAGTTACCTCGATTTATCGGGAATCAATTGTTCAACAGTGTTTTCGAATCTAGTCTACCAGCAGAAGTTAAACCGAATGCTACAGATGCTGTAACGTAAGCAGTCTTTAGTCTGGGTGTGTGTGTGCATGTAGGATAGTAATAATCAATGACTGGAGACAATTCGTGATATTGCTCAAAATCTTTCTCAATGACAGCGCAGATGCATTCACTCTTTATGATTTGTCGTATCCAGTAAAACTATTCTCTTTTTCTCTCACACATATGTTTATTATTTGTCTTTTTAACCTCCCTTTACTATCTTCTCTTGTTTTGTGTGCTAAATGGAGTGTGACATCTCGAAATGGTGCACTTCAGTGAAAAGTCATTTGTAGAAACCAGTCAGTCAGCTGAAGTCAGTTCATGATCAAACTTGAGTTCATTTATGAATTTATAATCTCCCTATGATATGTTGCTTCACTTTCACAGCCGTCATCCATGAACACTTATTTTAGCCAATAAAGCTCCTTTCGAGTACTTCATCGCAATTCCCTTATTCATGTTGTTTAGTTTATAATTTATGGCTTCACTGTGAAATATAATGTACTCATTCTTTTCAATTTATTCCCCTTGAATTATTTGATTTGATTTTTTACAGTGATGCTGATGGAACGACTCAAAGACGTGCATTTATCAAATCAAAATATGTTGATCGGCGTTTCATAACAAAAACTACATCGAATTTATTATTGGATAATGATATTGGCAGTAATAATATGAGATTAGATAATATGAATACTAGTTACACTGCTTCTGTTGTTACTACAACACGTGATCCAGTATCACAACGATTCTTAAGACGAGATTTGTTAAGAGCAGTGAAAACTGGAGATCTGCCTTTATTAATACAAGTAAGCTATGACATTTTCAACTGAATCGTTTATTTGATATGATTCAGTGTTAGTGCCCCTCATCTTTCCTTGCTTTATCGTCCCTCCGAGTAGGTGTGCGGGAGGGAGAGGTTTAGAATCTAAAACACAGAACATAGGTTAATAATTCGTTAAACTGTTTTCTGTGTCTTACGAATATAACTACTAATCAGTTGATATTATTATCAGAGTAGATGGTTTCAGTTCATATTTATATTTCGAAATAGTGGTTACTGAACAAAGACTATTCTTAAGATGACCTGGTCTTCATCACGTTCTACAGTTACATATCCATCCATAATAGTGAACGAATGAATTAGTGTTATCAACAACATTAATGGTGTTTAAATGACATCGAATCAATAATGATTATATCAATGGATTACACTTCGATAGCATCAACACAACAATACACACTGAATATCAGACAGGCAAATTAGGAAAGATAATAATACGAATTCATGAATTTATAGTCTCCAGTGAAGGCTGATCAGGGGAGTAGTAGTGGCTAGCTGTACTTACTTCTTTTGAAGACAAAGCACTGGTGGTTTCACGCGAATCGCGATAGCCTCTACTGTTTGGAGTATGCAGAAAAGGACTATTCTCCATCTGTAAATAAGAAGCCTTTATATATACAACCGCAATTCAAGGGTGATGCACCTAGTGAAATAATTACTAACAAGTTAAGAAAATCCATTCCAAGAACTCTTAATTATGGTAAACTACAAGTCATGTTTTCTAAACGGCCGATGGTGATTTCGCGATTGAAAGATGAAGTTCTTAGACTAGTCAATTCTAATTGTATCTACCAATTCAACTGCATTTGTGGTGGAGCGAGTTCTGTTGGCCGTGGCTCTAGGAACTTGATTTTTCATGCTCGTTCGGGAACATCTACCAGTGTGGCTAAGTGAAGGTGTAGTGAGAAGCATCAACAGCTCGATATTAGACGACCACCTGGTCCAAATCGGCCACAAAGCCAGTATTGAAGAATCCTTCTCCATCATCGGGTACGAAATAAATTGACGAAACATCCAGATAGGGCATACTCCAAACAGTAGAGGTTATGGCGGTTCGCGTGAAACCACCAGTGCTTTGTCTTCAAAAGAAGCAAGTACAGCTAGCCACTACTACTCCCCTGATCAGCCTTCACTGGAGACTATAAATTCATGAATTCGTATTATTATCTTTCCTAATTTGCCTGTCTGATATTCAGTGTGTATTGTTGTGTTGATGCTATCGAAGTGTAATCCATTGATATAATTATTATTGATTCGATGTTATTAAACAATATTAATGTTGTTTAGTCACCTTCGTTACTATGTGGAATTAAACAAATAATAATTGTATATATGTAAAATAATCTATATAAATGCGATTGTACAGCTTTTGAGAATGAAATCGCCGAAAAGATATCTTAGCTGAACTTCGTGTTCTCTTCTTTCTAATGTCCATATGGGTATTTTACACGATTAATGATCTGATCATGAACAGTAATAGATTGTGTTCGAAACTTTATCATCCAGTAAATAATAATAATAATGCTGTTTCACTCTATGGTATATCCAATAAACAAATGAACATGGAATTACACACGATCACCGCACCTGATTTTTACACACGCATTAGCTGATTTCAAGATGAAGGGATTTTCATGCATACTTTGTGTTGAACTTGAGAATAGTTACTCATAATAATTCGAAAACAGTTTGTCGCTGTGTGGTTAATGTTTTCAACTGCAAAATGGTTAGAGCTGGACTTTTGATTTAAAGTCAGAATTATTATTTTTTGTTAGTCTGTGTTTTGTATGGAACACAGGGCTTCGTCCATTGAAGTATCCAGTGGTGACGGTATTGTTTTCTTTTCAAGTTGGAATTGTCATCCTGAAATCCAACCTTCCCTCCTTTACCTGTCAGGAAACCAGGTGTCGTTTAGGAGTGCGTCGATCGGGAACCGGACTCAAACCACCTGCGTAGTTGGCGAGCATTTTACCATCGCTCCACCGATTCAGAATTATAGATCTTATTATAATGTTGACAGATATATAGTGTGCAGGTAATTCTAATTTCCTAAATTTGAGACACTTTGGAATATGTCGTCCGTTGAAAAAATCATCGTTTCACTTAATCACAACAATTTCAATTTGATTTCATTTGTAGGTATACGCTGAGCGATTGGATTTAATGACACCATTTGAACCAGAAGACGATGACTCCACTCCACTGTTGGCAGGCACAACAGCTTTACATATAGCTGTAGAGACAACAAATAAATTTTTACGTAAAAAATCTGATACTAGTTTCTCCTGTTTATCTGGTGAAGCATCATGGAACGACAGTGATGATATTCACGAACAGCAAGTGAAACCACCTCATTGTAATTTGCCGTTGGTTGAATTCATTATACAAAATGCTTTACCGTAAGTTGTGATTATTCATCCATCTTTTTTTTTAATATGTAAATATTCTGCTGTTTATCAGGGTGGTAAATTTAAATCTTACCAATTGTTATTGTAGCCATAAAACTGTTTCATATTAGTTAACTTTATTTTAAATATCACACAGTGATAATGCAGTATTAACGACTGGATGGCAAGGTTTCGAGCATAAAGTATTGCTCATAATCATATCAGTTTTGGTCACATGGTTTCAGAATTTGTCTTATATATATATATATATATATATATACATTCTCTCCAACTTCTCTTTGTTGTTTGTTGCCACTTTCCATGTCTCCGCGGTATAGATGGCGTTACTTCAATCCGATTGCACGTGTGCGGTGTTGAATCGGTAAACAAATCTTCACAATATTACTAGTGTCCAGTAGGATGGGGTGCAGTCGTATTGTTGAGTGCTTGTGTGTCCTTTAGTCTTAGAGGTTATTGGATATGCTTGAATATCAGTCTGATACCCACTAGCAACGGGCCCTATTCAGGTAGGTAGTTACCTGAGTTCTAGTGAGAAGTTGTGACCAGTCGTGTACAGCAGGTCAGGTGTGAGGACAATTACGCGCCGATGACATTGGCTAGTGGTCGCTCCATATCGTGAATTGGCAGAAGTTGGAATTCACGGTCTAGCCATTGAATCGGGTCCCAGTAGTTTAATGGTCTATAAGCTCGCTCACCTTGTAACCAGAAGGTTCTGGGTTCGAACCCTGGCGGTGGGGTAGGTGCTTACGGTTGAAGAGTCCTGAACCAGGACGTAATAGCTGTTTAGTACTCCCAGCTGGTTTTCCAATGGTTCACTAAGTGGTCAGCTCATGCTAAAATCCTGTAACCAATCATATCAAATCCCTGTAAACCAACACTTAAATGTTGGATGTGTGTTCAGAAATGTGGACAATAGCACTCCTCTTTGTTCTCCCAATGTATGTACTTTGACATATCTATGTAAGTTGGTAGATATGGTTGGAGATATTATGAGGTGGGAGTTTGTTCACTTTTGACTGTCTTCAGCAACTGTTTGTTTGGTGCACACGAATAAGCGTGGTAACTGGATACGTTCTTTATTCTACCGGTGATATCATCACCTTTGAGGGCTAGCTGTAGAAAGACACATTTTCTCTCCCTTGTGCTCCAGTCGACCTTTTCCACAGTATATTTTCCGTGTTTGTCTTCAAGAGTAACTCTTCTTCGACCCTTTCCTCTAAGTAAAGCTTTCTTTTACACAATGAGTTTTCTCAGTAATCCCTTTCTGTAACTTATACGACGGAAGCTTTTATAGTTCAGTGGACAAGTTCAGGTAAATTCCCCCTTCAGGTCTCTTTTCCCCTTGAATGTATCTTACAATTTTTCTGTCTGTGTATCATTCTTGCCTTGTCCAAGTATTTGGTTACTAATATCTTCAGTATTTTAAGCATAGATATTAGGCACTATGGTGGAATGTAACTATAATGAATCAGTTTGACAGCCAACAGTATTATTATTATTGTTCCCTTGGGTTCCTAGTGGAACATAGGGCTTCAACTTCACGTCTCCACTTGCTTTTGTCTTCCTTCTGCTGTACTTTTCACCTGTATCCATGTTAGTCCATACTGTCCATACTCCTCTTCACACTGCCTCCTCCATGTCACCCTTGCACTGACGTCCCACTCGCCGCTTCCCTTTCGGCCTGGTTCCACTCGAGCAATGGCCTGACGCACGCGCGATGTCACCCAGCGGTCTCCTCAGCGAGTGTCCTATCCATCTCCACTCTCTCCTGCATATTTGTTGGCTGGCGATTGCTTCTTGTTTTGTTTCTCCCCATAGTTTCTTGTTGGAAATATTCTTTGTGACTCGCCTGCCAAGTTTCTGATCCGTTCCGTATAGAAGAACTGACTGACTTGACGTTTGTATTGAAAATCCGACCGAATTTTGTTGTTGATGCTGGCTGGCTGAGTGACGAAGATTTCCAGATTGATTTCAGGTTGATGAATGTGTTTCTCGCCTTCCCGATGATTCTCGATTTGACATCCTCGTCCGTTCTTCCTGTAGTTGAGACAGTAATATTACAGTACTATTATTATTGTTAACCAGAAGTTTTAAAATTTATTATTAAGCCTGTTCATGTAGCCCTATTATTTACTCTTTTATTTTCATCGTGTTAATATTAATGTATTTCCTCGGATATTGTTACTGTCTATGTCATCTACTGTATACATTACTCTGTCTACCGCCACCGCATTAAGAGTAATTTGTTTTGTTGTGTTCTGCTGTCATCATTTCACAAAAATACTTCAGTTCAACTTTAATCTCAATTAGTTATTGAACTTGTTTTCAAGGTGAAACAAACAACCAACATATTCTGAAGATGATGATCGGTTCTTTATGGTCTTCAACAGTGAATCATTTTCGACTTTTTTCGCCTTGATAATGATCTGAACCCACTATGCAAATATGTATATGTACACAAACACATACACATCAATTTATACACAAGACTATTTTCACCTACTTGGTTACTTATTATTTTGAAGTACACTAACATATATTTGGCCAACATTCGTTGTGTATTGTGGTTGTTGACTAATCAATAGTTCTTCAAAAATGCCTTGTTGGTGTATAAATTTTTTTTCGCATGGCATATATTAATAAAAATGCACCTGGTCCGTTGTGTGTGTGTCCGTTGCATGTATAAATAAATAAATAATCAAATGTTTTAATGCATTTTAATCAGTTTTGGTTATTTTTCACTTCGATGGTAAAAAAAGAATAGGAATTGTAGTAATCTGTGAGTCGATTCAGATTACTACTTCGTTCATTTCACTGACTGATTGGCTGACGGAGTTTTAACATAGAACTTTGCACAGAGGTGCACCATTTTAAGCTGCCACACTCCATGCACCACACAAGGGTGGGAAAAAAAACTGCGAATTAAAGGAACGACAATAAGCAGCAATGTACGGTAGAAAGAATCATTCATGGACCTGGGAGATTACAAAGAATGAATGCATCTCCGCTATTCAGAATGATTTTGAGCCACATCACCAATAGCTTCCAACCTGCTAGTCTGTGCCTCACAACATCATACAAACCAATAGTCAAAGACTTTATGCGTTGATACCAAGTTTTAGTTTGACAATCCTGAACCCTTTTCCAGCCCAACCCTATATCAGCTAACATTACTTGGCATGTGCAACATGTAACCTAGCCATCTCAATCAATGTATAGCCTCATAACCTCATCAAATGTTTTGCTCTCCTTATCTGGTACTCTGTCTCTAACCTCAGTAATGCTCACCATATTACACTACTTCATACGGGAAATAGAATGCAAACATCTGTAGTCAAAGACAGCTAACCTTTTCATATCTTCCACTTTCAACTGTCATTTCTCACAGCTCTAAAGAAGAATGCAGCGAAATTTTGTGCAATATACATGTCCTTTGAGTGGTAGCCGAATTTCACAGATAACACAAGTTGGTGAATGCTAAACGAGCCTTTTGTATTTGTGTTAAGATTTCCTCAGCAATCAATCCATTAGGTGGGATTCAACTTCTCAAATAAGTGAGAATGGTCAGCATGCTCTGCTACTTCACTCTATTTTTTTTTAGCTAGGAGTCGATGTAGTCGAGTCGTGTAGCTTCGTTTTAGATTTGACAGAAGCTAATCTCATGTCAAACATTCGAATGTTTCTGCTCCAGGTGTTCTGAAGACCCTGAATTTTGTCAGTCTTTACCTAGGATGAAAATATCATTCACATGCTCTAAGTTATTGACGCTGTTCTCTTGCAACGAGTCAATACCTGAGTCACTGAAGTCAGTTGGGGTTTATGATGAAATTTTAAAAAATGGAGACGGTGATCATCCTCAACTGATACCACTGACTGTCATCATTTCATGTGACAACTCTCCATAATCTCTTACACAGTTGTACGACTTCGAGTAAAGTGTATTGATTAATGTAATAAAACTTTTTGGCACTCCTTCTTAAACTAAACGTTGCCACAACACCCCTTGGTCGAAACAGTCAAAAACCTGACTGACTGTCTGATTTCAACGTAGAACATTGCACAGGTGTGCAGCAGGTTCGAGTCGCCACACTTGAATCAGCACACAAAGCCAGAGGAGAAGAAGAAAGTAAAAATAAATGCTGCTGGGAAGTAACAACCGCCCACACACTCTCAAGAGCACATGAAGCTTTCCTAAGCATCATTCCTCCTTACCGACATCATCATCCAGTCGAAAAACGGCTTTATGTTAACAAATACGGTAAGTGTTTGACGTCGGTAAGTATGTATACGTTCGTGAATCTATCGAAGTGTTAAGAGATGATCACTACATCCTCTTCCTGGTTTTCCATCGCATGTTTGTAATGCTATTGTAGTGGAATGTCAGTTCTATATATTTCAAAACTGATGCTTTTTCTATATATTTTAATGATGTTGAATATAATCCTCATTGTTTTACATGGATTCTATTTTTAAAGTGGTAGTTTGAAACGTGCCAATGAGCTGGGCGATACAGCATTACATCATGCTGCACGTTATGGTTGTGTAGATGCACTAAAATTACTTGTTCAAGCTGGTGGGATTCCAACTCCTGTAAGTTCATCTTTCATTTGTGTGGTAATTTTATCGTATGTATAGTCCATTAATTATGGGGATGTTTTTTTATAAGATGTTATTTAATTCAGTGTTACTCAACTACTGCTTGCAATATCATGCACCTATTGTGTGTGTGGACGTATTATACTAACTGAGGCTGCCGAACCATGATGCGTTCGGCGGGGCTCGAACCAGTGACCCATCGGTTAGACGTTGAGCGCTTAGACGAGTGGACTACAGCTCCACATAAGATGTTGCTTAGTGAAATCCAGGAAGCACGTTTCGTTCTCTGTGGGACTCATCTGCAACTTAAGTCAAATACGGGTAGTAAAATTGTATTTTTCAAGTGTACAAAATACTTTCTGAAAATTCCAGTGTTGTTGTCGATTCCTTGTTATGTTAATTCATATGATATGTTGTTGACTATTTCCGTACAACTAAGTTCTGAGGTGGAGTTCAACCATGCACGTGGTCTGGGGTTCGATTCCCGGCTGGCGTATACCTTTACTTCCCATAGCCGGTTGTAAGTCCGACAAAGAGGAAAGGTTAAGCTTGAAGCCTTATGTTCTACTGGGAATGTAAAGGAATAAAATAAATAGTACAATAGAATCAGACTATTATTTGCACAAATTGGTTTCAGCGCGGTGCTTACTGTTTTTTTATCACTAGTCATTGTGGCTTGCCAAAACTAGTATTGTTTTAGACATGACTGTCTATCTGCTTGATGTTCCAAGTTGACCTTTTGACGATTTTGACGTCACTTTGTATTTATCCTTATAAGAAAATGGAGATAGATTAGTCATATTCTTAGGACACCGTTAAGTGACATCACTCACCAAGCCTTTCAGTAAAACCTGAATGACAGACGACGAGTTGGGTTTTTTCGAGGTTGATATGGAGGAGATCATGTGAGGAGGGAATGAAAGCTCGATGGGCAATCGTGGAATTGTCTAGGAAAGATTGCGGAAATCCGAGTCATATAGAGAAGGATGTACTACTGAAGTCCAATGTTTCACCTGGAACTCAAGAGAATATAGGCGCTGGGTAGGAATTATTTCTTTTTCTACAATGAACCTAGTATTAGTTATTAGTTGGGAGATACTTATATTACCTTAAGTTGGACTTTCACGATATATGTTTTTGTATATTTCTGAGTTATTTTTTTCCTCACTTCTACTTCACATTCCTGTTTTTTTAGATCCTTCAACTCACCAATAAAAATGGTCAAACAGCATTGGACATCGTCGAGGTTATGCTGACGACTGAATCAAATCCCAGTGAAATAGTCGAAGCGTATAAAAGTTGTCAACAAATATTGAAATTAGCTGATTTAATTGCATCGAGTATATCATCAAATACTAATCGTTTAATGACTGATTCTATATGTTCATTATTCCCTAACACTGATGGTTCCTCAGAGAAAATATCGATGCATCGTGCTAATCTAAGTGAGTTGTTAGATCAATTGAATTCAGTTAATTGGTGTCATCCGACCAATGCTTTATCACCATCCACAGCGTCCTATTGGGCGAAGAGTGGAAAATATTGTCCTGCTAATAAGCGTGTCACAACGTCGTCATCATCCACAATAACAACACCTGGTGTTAGTACTGCTGTGAATACCACAACAACGACAACCGCATCAGAAGCATTCAGTAGTAAATTAGGTTATTTCTCTTTGTCTCCTGTGATAAAAACCACAAATCAGGTGAGTGATTTCATAACACAGATTTTGCACAAAATTTTGGCCGTGATGTTTGTATTTTCTAGTTCTCACTTGATGCAGGTTTGTTGCACATAATTTATTATTACTTTGCATTCCAAGTGGAACGTGGAAATTCAAGTCTGTTCTTTGCAGTTTCACTAGCAGTGCTCTTTTTATGTGGTGTGGTTGCTAGCCTCACACGCAACCTTCCATGTTTATTGGGCTTACTACCGGCTAAGCCCCAGCCCTAGGAGGCAGTTGGCCGGGAATGGGACCTAGGACCACGTTTGGTGAGTGCTTCGCCAGTGAATAACTATTGAAAATAGGGAGCACAATTCTAGAAAAAACTGACTGACCAACCGGTTTCAACATAGGACTTTGCACAGAAGTGGTCCATTTCGAGTTGTCACTCTTCATGCAGTGCACAAAAGAAGACAAAAGAGAAGAAAAGTATTCGAAAGAAAGATAATGAGCAGAAATGTGCGGGAAAACGACAATGCCTACTAATATGGGAAATCACAAAGAAGGAATGCACCTGCGTCACTGAGAACAATTTCGGGCCATATCACCAGTGGTTTTTAACATCCGGAGGACACCATTCAAGCAATCTGTACCCTCCCCCCCCTTACAATCAGTCGTCAAAGACCTATTCCAGGTCTTGGTTTAATCACGCACGCCTAACTCTTTTCTAACCCAACCATTTATCAGCTAACATGGCTCGTTGAGTAAAACGACTCTGCATTCATGGCACATGTCGTAGCCACTCTAATCTGTGTAGTTTTACAACCTCAACGATGGACTTACCTTCCTTAACTAACCCTCTGTGGCAAACCTCATTAATGGTCACCATATTATACCACTTAACACGGAGATAGAATTCAACACAAGCCGTTTGTATCCCTGCTGAGGTCTTGTCATCAGTCAGTATACTAGTACTGATGTAACAAGTCAATTGTCAACACGCTTAACCACTTCACTCTGTCTTCCTTTAATTTGGGAGTTTGTGTAGTCTAGTCCTTCAGTATCTTACATCTGACAGGAGCGAATCGTATGCCAAACATTTGGAGATTTCTACCGAATGTGTTCTGAGTTGTAGAGTAAACGTCATAATGTTTGTTTGAATTCTTTGTTTTTTCCGCTACTATGGAACTTTTTATTTCTAAAATTCACTGAATTTTGGAGGAAAGATCTTATTACATACACCCAGGTATTATTGTTCAGATGGTTAAAGTAGTCTGTAAAAGAAGAAACTCCTAGCTTGAAGATAGGGAGTGAAGTTGTGGAGCATGTTGTCCACTTCATGTATTTGAGAATTCACAACAGCCCCAATGAGCTGATTGTGCTAACAAAATCTCAGCACGGATACTAAAGGCTCATGTGGCACTCACCAACTTGCTCCATCTCTGGCATAGATGTAATATCTGGCCACCAATCAAAGGACGAGAGTACTGCTTAGTCGTTTGCTCCGTCCTCCTTTGTGTTTGTGAAACATTGCCATTGAAAGTGGAATACATGAAAAGGCTATCTATCTTTCATCAAAGGCATCTGTGTCCTCTCTTCCACGTTAGGTACTATGATAGGTTAACTACTATTGAGAATGGGCGTTGAGTGTCAGATAAGGAGGGAAAGTCTGTCGATGAGATTGTGAAGGTGAATCGATGCAGATGGTTTGGACATGTGATACGCGTCCCTAGCTATTGCCTCCCTCGACGGCCAGTGTTAGTCGAAATAGGATCAGGCTGGAATAGAGCTAGTGGTGGTCAAACGAAAACATGGCTTCATCAGTCAATGAAATCCACAACACTTAGTTTAAACCACTTAGAGAAGTGTAGACTGACTTCCTGCTTGGAGTCCTCAGGATGGTAAGAACCAATGTCAGGAGATAATTCGTGATATTGCTCAAAATCTTTCTCAATGACAGTGCAGATGAATTCACTCTGTGTGATTTATCATATCCAATAAACCTTTATTCTCTTCCTCACACTTCTGTTTGTCCCTCTTTTGAACCTCTCTTAACTGTCTTCTCATAGTTCAGCGAAGGGTCTCTTTTCGGCAAATTCATTCACTCTTAGCTGTACAATCGCAATTATATATACTTATTTCTGTATGTGTGTGTACATTAGGTTTGTCTGATAAGAATAAAAATAAGTTAGGGTTATTGTTATCAAGACATTTCAAAAATGTGATGAGTAATCAAACTGTAACTAGGGGGGCTAAGGAATGGTAAGAGGGTAGTGGTGATGTGTTCTCAAAGTAACTTATTTATTAACAAATGAAAGAAGTTCAATAAGCGTAATACAGTTACGTAATAAGATGAACATATTAATGAGTTGAGAATGAACATAGAAACACAGTAAAATATGGAATTATGTAAGACTTATTAAGATTATAAATATTATAAGGAGTTAGAAAAGAAAAAAAATCAAACGGGCACATGCACATCAAGTCAACAGAAATCAACACGGTTGTTACCATGATAATGGTAATGATTGTATGATTTTCTTTTGTATGCATAAATCTGGTTCTTCTAACTGATTGGCTAAGGCTTTAGTACTACAAAAGAGACGAAAGCGTATTGCCTTTGGTAGGTTGTTTTTCACTTTGTATATCACTTTGAAGAAGGCGTTTGTTGAGATAGAATGACAAGTGTTGATGAGACGTTCAGTTATCGCTCTCCTTATTCTTAACGGATAATCCTAACGTGCTCAAACACACAAAAATAAGTATATATATAGTCGCGATTGTACAGTTAAATGAATGAATTCGCCTCTGAAAAGAGACTCTTTGCTGAACTACGTGCTTTGTTTTCATTAATGTCTGGATGGGGATTATTCATGAACATTAACAAAGGCAATGTTTCCGGGGTGGTTATTATAGTTCTGGATTTAAAGTAACTACCAAAAGATTCTAAATTACATGTTACACAAATATTATTCAGGTATAGGGTTAATTAAAATTAAGTAACTTGGATGATATAACATAATTGGCAGGATCGAGTAGAGATACTCTAAAATTGAAAGGTGAAGTCAAGGTCATTATCATCAGTAGTAGTAGAAGTGTAATAGTTAGAAAATGATAAAAAAATAAACTTTTAAAAAATTCAACCGTCGAATTTTTTGATAAATCGGATCATTTGTTAGCTAAATGACTGAAAAAAACTTCTTTTGTATGTTCAGGATTTATCATGCAGATTGCCAGTTATTACCATTTTTTTAAAAAGCCTAATTTCTACACATTTGACGAATAACTCAATAGTCTTAAGTAGATTAGAACCCATTCTTAAAGGGATCTTTTTCATCTTTTCTCTGTAAGAATTATGAATCCGTAGTATGCAATTTTAATAAACTACCTTTCGCTGTGGACATAATGAAGAAGATTTGTTGCTCAGGTGGATGATTTTGATGTAGTTGTGTTCTTTCAGCTGGTTGATTTACCTGCGAAGCTTTCATTGCTCTAGTAGGCAACTTCCGAAAATTCTCTGATAGTCTTGGTGTTCCCTCCGTCTAATAGTTGAATATTGCCCCAGTCGAATTGATGTCCGTGGTTGTCTGTATGCAGTGTGATATGAGGGAATGAATGTCATTTCTTTTGATTTGAAAAGACAACTTTCAAATATTAGATAGAGAAAACGCTAAGAATGCCAGAGAATCTTTAGAAGCCTAGTACTGCAGTGAATTGTCAATCAATAGACACATTGACATAGACAAAATTTACCAATCGTTAAGAAAGAAATCTCATACACAAAGGAAACAATCGGTACCAGTACAAGTAGCCAGAGAGTGTGAATACAACCAATCACTTTCAAGGTCACCAGGGAAGATAACTAATGAAATCGTGGAAAAATCTGAAAGCTCATTTCAAATTGAAGTATGTGCTGAAGATATTGCCTAGTATTTGCTAATCTCCTCCGAGAATTTATTGACTGAACGAACTATCAAGAATCATCTGAAGCAGCATCCTTTAGACACCTTTGTGCATATTCATAATACCAGCAGGTGTTAATACACAGTCAAACCAATAGGAAAACTCTGCTTATCACTTAACTACTCAAACATACAGATCATTATTGTTATGGCTTTCAAGTGTTGGTCTTGCAGGGATTTGATTTGATTGGTTGCACGATCTCAGCATGAGCTGATATCGGTTAGTGAACCATTGGAAAACCAGCTGGGAGTACTAAACAGCTGTTCCATCAGCCTATTTTGAGACTTCCCAGCAGTACACACCCACCTCACTGCCAGAGTTCGAACCCAGAACCTTCTGGTTACAAGGCGAGCGAGCTCACAGACCTTTCAGTTACTGGAACCCGACTCAATAGTCAGCTCATTAATTCCAACTTCTGCCAATTCACGATATAGCGCGACCACTAGTCCATGAGCTTGCTATGTTGTAACTGGAAGGTCCTGGGCTCGAACCCCCATGGTGGGTGCGTACTGCTGAAGTGTCTCAGTCTAGGCTGACGGAACGGATGTCCAATGCTCCCAGCTGGTTTTCCACTGGTTCTCTAACCGATGTCAGCTCTTGCTGAAATCCTATTAATGCTGTGTTTGGTACTTTAGTTATAGAATGTTTTTGGGGACGATTTCTTTTTAATTCATGGAAAGTATCTACGGAAGCGCGTAGGAGACAATTTAACGAAGAAAATTTTCTTCCAACTGTTGGTTTTCTGGAATTTGATTAGTTACGGGTTCGGCCATGAGCTGACATCAGTTAGTGAACTATTATGGTAGAATCAGGGAGTACTGTACAGCAGTTTCGTCCTGGTTTAAGACCTAAATTGTGGTCTGCAAGACAGTGGAGCTACTTTCTCATAGACGCCGGTGACCAAAACACCTTCATATACCATTGGGTCCGTTCAGGTTCTGGAACCCATGTATATACACCATGTATTCGGAATAAGGATTTTTCAGCTCCTCTAGGTGTGGACCTGTGTATCCACCAGACATTGATTTTCACCCCTTCACTTTTGTGGGTAACACCTCCGCCTCACATGAAAGCAATGAATACAAGACTTACATCACAGAAGCTATGAGTTTGTGACCATTTGTGATGAGTGTATTTCGAGAGAGGAAGACCAAAGCATATCTACACGCGGGCATTCTAGGTTGTTTATGGTAGTCAGAAATATTTGATTAAATTGTAGCTTTATATCATGAATAAAATAAACACAAGTGTTATCTTTTTTTGTGTGCTTTTCTTTTAGTTTGATTTGTCGAGATTATTATTACTATTAGTTGTTGTTGTTATTATTATTGAATACTATTAACAAATTTATGCACATTAGTATTATTATTTCACATTTCCTTAACATTACAGTCAGTCACTTCCAGTCCACGTGATATAAACTCTTCTAAGACAACGTCGTCATCAACTGGGAAACAAATAACCTTTGAAGAAGACCGATATGCTACAAGCAAAAATGTACCAATGTTCAACAAACCTATCCGATGTAAGCCCCGCCCCACCCCTCCCCCTTTTTTTCTCCATTAGAAGAGCTGAAATGTTGGCTTTTTTTATAGCAGACTTTGAAGTGTTATCATTCAAGCTGTCCACAAGTGTTATGTATTGTTAGCGAACCACCATCAATGCAGTACAGTACAGAGAACTTACTTGGATAACAGTCATATTTTTCAAGTATTGGTTTGTAGGGATTTCGTTTGATTCCATCATGAGCTAACATCAATTAGAGAAACATTGTAAAACCTGCAGGGAGTACTGGATAACGGCTTCGTCCTGTTTTGGGATTCTTCAGCAGCTGTCCAGTACTCCCAGGTTTTTCAGTGTTTCTCTAACTGATGTCAGCTCATGATGAAATCCTGTAACCAGTTACATTTTTCTTGCATATATATATATATATATATATATATTGATTTGACACCATTAACTAGCGTGATGTGTCTTGTCCTCTCATTGGTGCAGACTGAATTCTATCAGTCAGGTTGTAATGTGGCCACCATTCTAGGCAGCTCGCCATCACGGTGCACATTGATTTGATGATATTAGATTGTTGGAGGCAATCGGCAGGAAGCCTTGGACCTAAGTTTCGTGCTAGTTGGCACGAAACATTACCACATTACATCCTGACTGATGGAATTGAGTCTGCGCCAATGAGAGGACAAGACACATCACACTGGTTACTAGTGTCGAATCAAAATATCCACTAAAGTCCTACATGAGGTCAATCATGAGCCCGAATAGCTCAGTGGTAACGTCTCTGACTGCAGCACTGGGTGACGCGGGTTCGAATCTCAGATGGGACATGAGTTCCTTCAAGGTTGCAGATACGTCCTGCTGACGAGTGCCAACTAGCACGAAACCTAGGTCCAGGGATTCCTACCGATTGCCTCCAACCCTCTAATATGTATATATATATATATATATATATATATATATATATATATATATATATTCAACATTTTTGTGCAACCAATCAAATCTCTGCAAGTTTATGTTGCTCAGTTTACTGATGATTCTATACATTCCGGTCATCATGGGATTGTATATACTACTAGACATTATTAATGTTCGATTAAATCATCTTTGAAATAGATGTAGACATTTAACTATTCAGGCTTTTAGGTTCTGTATTTGCTTGTAGGTTCATTTAAAAGTGGTTTTTAAATCACCTGAATTAAATGAGACAGTATAATCCTTGTATGTCACGTCACTGCTTCCATATAGCGTTCAGAGACTTGACACGTCACCAAAAACTTTTCCAACAGGCGCCACTACAAAATTTTTTCAAGAAGGGACTTCGCTCAATATTGAAGATAAGATGATAGCCAACCGGAAAGGATTAACAACAATGAACTCTTGGAATGAACCAACCAACACTACCTTATTGTCCAGCAATTATGCTGAAGGAAATAGACATGAATTGAACACACTCTGATTTAGGACTCTCACCGATCATTCACATGGTCCGGGGTTCGATCTCCTGCCGACGCACACCTGATATCTATGGTCGGCCTGCAAAAATTGGACTATCGATATGACATGCTGAAAATGCCATACTTGTACCAAAAATACGGTGTGGCATCTAGCTGTAATCAAAATAAAATAAAACAGTTAACTGTTGAAGCCCTTGAATGGGCGTAGGTTCGAGGATAACATGGATAAGACTGTGTGAGGAGAAAGTGAAAGCTTATGAGCAGTTGTGGAGGTAGTTAGACTTTAGAGAACGGGATGATATGGAGATGTGTTGTTGTCAGAAACTAACTAGGGGGATTACAATAATAATTTATTTCTCTTGAGTTATTGTTTTTTTCTGTTTTTCCTTTTCTTCATAGCTTTCAGTCAATATTCTCCTTCAGCACATTATGGTAGTGTATTGGCAACACTACCTCGTAAAAAAGGTCCTGCTCCTCGTCCACCATCTATAAGCAGTCAACCAAATGATTCATTCGATTCTGGAACATCGAATAAAACTGATGTAATTGAAAATTGTTTTGTTTTATTGTTTTGAAGTATACATACTGTCGTTTAGAGTATATTATTAAGAAGTGTGTGCGTCGGTGGTAGAATGCTAGCCGACCACGCAGGTGGTCCGGAGTTCGATTCCCGGCCGACGCACTCCTCTACCTCTCTAAGCTAGTAGTAAGACTGATAAAGAGGGAAAGTTGGGCATGAGGCTAGCAACCCCATCCTGTAAAAAATAATCACCACTGCTACAGAAATTTCAAGCCTCTAGCTTGAAGATCTATGTTACACTGGGAAAGTAAGGGAAATTTAAAAAAATTTTTTTAAAGGAATTAGGAAGTGTAAAAATCCCATTGATTCTATTACCAGAGATAAAACTAGTTCTATATCAAAACATTCACGAACAGACTGAAGACTTACACCTTTATCACACAAAGCGATTTATAGATTTGGGTAAACTTTTTTTTTATCCTTCACGTTCCCAGTGGAACATAAGGCCTCAAGCTAGTGGCTTGAAGTTTCTGTAGCAGTGTTTACTTTTACATGATGGGGTCGCTAGCCTCATGCCTAACCTTCCTTCTTTACCAGCTTCATTTCTGGTTCAGCGAGGTAAAGGAGTGCGTCTGTGGCCGGGGTTCGAACCCCGGACCATGTACATGGTCGGCGAGCGTCTTAACCGCTGTGCCACCGACGCACTGGGTAAACTTTAATTGACTACTATTACAAATATATGCGTAGTTGATTGTGAACGCAAACCCTTTTGATAACCGAAAAACATAAAGAGGCTTTACGAAACTGTGAAAACAAATAAGAATTCAGTGATCTTCAAATCTGATTGCATAGGCAAAAAGATCACATTAGATTGTAATGAAGCTCATAAATTATTAACTCATAGTGGTTTGATGGGAAGGATTGAAAAACAGGGACATTAGAAATGTTGGAGCAACAAAGCACTGTATCTCACACTAAAACCTGTTAGTATCGTAACACACAGGTTATGTATACACTGTGCTTGTTTCTTTGACGACAATCTTGGATTATATCCGGCTCGCCATACCATATAACTGCTAAATAGCTGATACGACTTCCACAAATGTTATACACAAAAGTTTCCAAAACGCAGTGTAAATGACAGAAATCGATTGTGTAGAGAATAAGACACTTAAAGGTGAACAATGATAAGTTCATGATTTTCTTGAATACGTGTCTTCTTTATTCATAATATGTCTTTAAAGAAAACAGTGACAGCAAAAAAGCCAAAGTACCACTATGTCCTGCTGTCACATATATGTGTTCTAATTGACTACTGATCTGTATCTTTAAGTATCGATTTCTGTCGGGATTTTGTTTGATTGGTTGAAGGATTTCATCATGAGCAGAAATCAGTTAGAGAACCATTGGAAAACCTCTGTGGGTGCGTACTGATGAAGAGTCCCAAACCAAGATGAAACAGTTGTCCAGTACTCCCAGGTTTTCCACTGATTCTCTAACTGATACCTGCTCATGATGAAATCCTCCTATGATCTGTATCTATTGCATCAAAGTTTGTGACGTCATTGACTTCCGTAAGTCACAGTTGAAAGTTATCGTGTGTTAAAATCAACTTTCGACTCCCTATTACCAATTGCACAATAGCTCTCTTTCATGTTTAGCTTGAAATCTACTGTATGAAGTATTTGTTTACTGCACTGCTGATTACACTCGTATCTCATGCTTATCAGCTATACCGTTAAGAATTGAGATATTTTTCTATTTTCTTCTCTACCGAACCAATCATGTTTAAATAAGTATGTTCGAGTAATTAATTTATTGAATAATTAAATAGAAACCTATTTATAATTTAATAAGAATATTTTTTTCTCTTTTCCTTCTTTGACTTACTTCTGATTAGTTTTGGAGTGCATTCAATCGATTAGATATCAGTCGGATTCCAAGTTGTAAGTCATTATTATAATGACTTTTATCTTTAACAATAAGAACAAAACTTTTTTTCCACGGTGTATCTGCCTGGTATCTTCAATAATTCCGAGAAACGAAAAACTTTTTTGTTAAATGTTGGAATGCAGAAAAGGGGGTCCTGGGGTGGATCCTCGATGGGATTCTGTTATGGGTACGTGTCGCTTAATAGTCCCAAACTAGGAGGAAACAATTGTCCAGTACTCCCTGGTTTTCAATGATTCTCTAAATGATGTGATCAAACTTGTAAAAATCTACTACTAGGTGAATTAAATAATTAGGTGGTTGCTTCCTTTAGCATTTAAATCCGTCGGCTTTTGTTGGGGTCTACCTATAATATTGAACAGATGCACTGCTATTTGTTAAATTCAAAACCTAGTTGTACAACTAGAATAATTTTACACACAAATTCCCCTTAATGAATTTGAACAAAGCGGTGACAACACATGGAATAGTATAAAACGTATAGATCCATTGTTTAGATCATTGGCGTATCGCTTGTGCATTGCATACAACTAAAATAGTCATTTAATAGTTCTGTTACTGTCTCAACATACTTCATTTCATTAGGCGATTAAAGTGTGAAACAGTAGTTCAGAATGATAATGGTATATGGATTAACCGAAATATGTTAAGTAAATAAAATATTGAGAGGTACTTTGGCGATGCTTGGCTGTAAAGGGAATGCCGAGAAAATACATTGCACTGATCAAGGCACTCTACTCGAACTCATGCAGCCAGGTGGGGGCTTACGGCAAGTTGTCATCTGAAGTGGTGACAACTAGTGGTGTCCATCAGGAATGCCCATTATCCCCTTTCCTATTCAATTTCATCATAGACATACTAATGGATTTAACCCTAACACACTTCAGAGACTCAGGGATTGACTTGCTACCGGGGAATAATCTCGTTGACTTGGAATATGCAGACGATATAGTCCTTTCAGGCGAAGACGCGGACAAAATGCAGAGTCTTCTGAACACCTTGAGCCGCAATCTACGAATGTTTGGCATGCGATTCGCTCCCGCCAAATGTAAGATGATGTTACAGGACTGGACTACACTGACTCCTAGATTAGAAACAGGGAGTGAAGTGGTACAGCTGGTTGACAGCTTTTATTTGAGAAGTTGCATCAGCCCCAACACGTTGATCGTTAACGAAATCTCAGCACGGATACAGAGGGCTAGTTTCGCATATGCGAGTTTACGCCGTCTCTGCCGTAGACGTGATATCCGACTAGCTGTCTACCAAAGGACGGGTGTACCGCTCAGCAGTTCGCTCCGTCCTCCTTTATGGCTGCGAGACGTGGCCATTGAGAGTGAAAGACATCAAAAGATTAGCTGTCTTTGATCACAGGTGCCTGCGCTCTATCTCCCGTGTGAAGTGGCATAATAAGGTGAGCAATATTGAGGTTAGGCTTCGAGTGCGGGGTGAGGGGCGGAAATCAATCGACGAGGCTGTGAAATTGTATCGACTGAGATGGTTAGGACATGTGTTACGTATGCTTAGTCATCGCCTTCCTCGACGGTCAGTGTTAGCCGAAATAGGATCAGATTGGAAAAGAGCTAGCGGCGGTCAAACGAAAACATGGCACCAGTCAATGAAATCTACAACAGTTAGTCTAAGCCACGTAGGAAGGTGTAGACTTCCAGGCAGGTTGGGGTCCTCGGGACGGTAAAAACCATTGGTTGGAAACAATTGGTGACATGGCTCAAAATCGTTCTCAATGGCTGGTGCAGATGCACCCACTCCCTGTGACTTATGATTTCCCATGAAACTATATTGTTCTTCCTTATTACTATTCCTTTGTCTCACTCCTCTGTTTACTGTCTCTAGTATGCATTTCTTCTGCTTTCTTCTTTTGCTTTGTGTGCTACATGGAGTGTGGTTATTTGAACTGCCGCACATCGGTGCAAAGTTCTATGTCGAAAACAGAGAGACAGACAGGCAGAAGTGAAATATTGTTATTATTCCCTTGTGTTCCGAATGAAACATAGGGCTTCAATAACACGTCTCGACCTTGCCTGATTTTTTGCTTTCCTCTTCATCTGGGCCCATGACTGCCTGTAATCTTTTATCCCCTCTTCACACCATCTTCTCCATCTCACCATCAGACACACTCATCGTTTCCTATTTGGGTTTCAATCGACGGCCTCCTCAATGTGTGCCCTACGTGTTTGTTGAACAAATAGGTTCATGGTTAGCTTGTTCCCATAGTTTCCTGTTGCTAATTCTTTCTGGCCAACCGACCATCTGATCTTCAGTATAGAGCCAGCTGTTGAAGGCGACTGTTGATAAAAGTCTGCAGTAGCCCGTTAGAAATGCTTTTCGTGACACGCGCAGCATGTTTCTGACCCATATAGAAGAACTGACTGATTTCACATCTGTGTTGAACGTTTTGAATCTTGGTGTTTATGCTGAGGTGGAGTGCAGATGATTTCCAAACTGGTTTCAGGTCGATGAATGCGTATCTTGCCTTTCCGATTCTGGCTTGCTTTGACATATTCATCCGTTCCAGCTACCTGTAGTTGAAACAATACTTACTACCTAGATAAGTGAAGGAAGTAACGTAAGTCAAATCTCTCCCGTTGATGATGATTGGTGCTGGTTGTTGTTGCTGTTGGTTGGTGGGTATTTTCATCACCTCCGTCCTCTCTATATTCACCTGGAGGAAACATGAAATATTGCTCGACTTCGAAGTTTCTCGAATAAAACAAAAAGTGGGAAGTCAAAAGGTAGCGAAAAGATACTGAGGTATATTATTTATAAGACTGCGCAGGTCATTCGAAAATGTTAAGCTCATTTTGTTAGATATCAAACATGTGAAGCATGCATAACTTTTAATAAATGATGATGTAACTAATTAAGAGTTAAAAGAAATCAACACTGACGTTCCTGCACTATTTATTGTTTTTGATTTCTTGCGAAAACCAACATAAGCCAATTCTGAAAACTCTTATATTAGAGTTGGACAGCCGTGCCTGATGTTCTCCTCTGTTATTAGCAAGTCTTGCTGATCATTCTGTCTAGTCCCGTGATATAATATTATAAAGTGTTGATTTGCAGGGATTTGATCTCGAGTTTGACATCAGTTGGAGGAACCATTAGAAAACCTGTAACCATTACCATCATCAGTACTATAGAGGTTGCGCTGAATTCGGAATTCATGGGTCATTGGTTCGGGTCTCAGTGGTTGAATGGATGGTCTACGAGTTCGCCTTGTAACCGGAAGGTCCTGATTTCAAATCCCACTTAGTGTGTACTGATGAAGAGTTCCAAACTAGGTTGACGAAGCTTCTGTCCCACACTTCCTTCCAATGGTTCTCTAACCGATGTCAACTTGTGATGAAATCTGAAACTATTATACGAAATTAATCAATACTCTGTACACATTTCCGTATCTGTAAAATTTAAGAGAGTAGCATCATATTTGGTGTTGAATGGGTGTGTGTGTGTGTGTTACTCGTTACAATGTAATCGTGATTCATTGTCTGTTTCTTATCCGTATTGTCTATCATATCAATGTGAATGAATGTACATGCTGTGTTTGATTTTTGCTTCTCTTCCGCAACACTCCTTCTTTATCAATTGTCTAATATACTGAATGTTTTTAATCGTGTTGAAAATAACAAAACATGCTGGGTCTTTGTTATGTATAGTCAGAAATAATGATGATGAGTAGATTCATTTCTCTAATTTACTTCGACAGAATTAATTATGATGTAATTTGAAGGGGTGGTAGGTAGAGAATAACGTGTCTTTAAGCGTCGATGATATACATACATTACACAGCTCTTCATACATGTCAGTCATTCGTTTCATTTCTTAGTGGTAATGAGATTAAACTTAATTATTACTATTATAATATAACTTAGGTGTAAATTAATCTTCACTTTAATTTTTCATTGTGTTTTTGAACAGTAACAAGAGTAACTGTAACTTTTTTCAGTAATTGTTATTCGTATTGCTTTAAATATATATACTTTAAATCATACTTCCATGCAAACTGGAGATTAATGTGAAGGGTGGTGTATTTCTTAAGTGGAAAAAGTTGTCTCAATCTCTTCATCTTTGTGTTTAACCAAGTAATGAGAATAAAGTTTAACTTCTGTGTTGTGTTGTTTATTCCTTTGTGTGGTACGAGTGGAACATATAGGACTTCAAGCTTGGGGCTTTGAAGTGTCAGCGTAGCAGTGTAGTGTTATTTCTCTTTTACTCAGTGAGGTTGTTAATTTCGCGCCCAACTTTCCCGCTTTGTCGGAATTAATAATGACTAAATGAGGTTTAGAAGTGAACCGACCGGGAATTGAATCCCGGATCACTCGTCGTGTCCCAATTGGCGATTATTCTGCTGTTGAACCACCGATACACAGTATACCGTCTACACTAGTTACAAATTCATTACTTTAGTATATACATATATATATATATATATATATCACCAAATTACAGAGCTGGTTGTCTTCACTGTGTGTGCAAAAACGGTAATCAGAAATTCTGTTGTAGTCAGTCTGCATAGCCACTTAGTACCTCTAGTTCGTTATTCCCATCAGTCAAGTTTTACGTTTTTTATTCCTTTTTTTCACTGATATTCATTTCTCTACTTAGATCACGGATGGATATCGGTTAGAGAACCATTGAAAACCAGGGACTACTGGACATCCTAGTTTTGAACTCATTGGTAGTACGTACCCACTGTGTTTCGAACCCACAAACTTCCAGTTACAAGGCAAGCTCGTAAACCATTCAACCATTAAGACCCGATTCAATGGCTCATGATTTCTAACTTGATGGTCGCGATAAAAACTCACGAATTGCTAGACGTTAGAAGTCATGAGCAGGCTACTGAGTCGCATCCTAGTGGTTGAATGGCCTAAAAGCTTGACCTGTACTTAGTAGGTCGTGGGTTCGAAATCCAGTGGGTGTGTACTGGCAGTGAGTCCCAAACTAGGATCGAACAACTGTTTAGTTACTCCCTGTGGGTTCTCAATGGTTCTCTAACTGATATCAATCCGTGGAGTAACTCGAAAAACAAATCAGATCCTTACAAATCAACTCTCGAAAACTAAAAATTATATTATTTTTTTGAATGTGGGATTTTTTATAGTGTTGATTCTCAGGGATTAGTTTCAAGTTTGATAAATGATTGATATCAGTTAAAAAACCACTGAAAACCAGGGAGTTTCGGACAGCTGTTTTGTCCTAGTTTGGGACTCTCCGGCATTATACAAAGCCCACAAAAACAGAACAAAACAGATATCTGGTATTCTGTGGTTTCCACTCTTTCTATAACTGATATCGACTAGTTATCAAACTTGAAACCAATCAAATCCCGAAAAAACGAGCATTTGAAAATTAATTTTATAAGTGACTAACAACACGACAAAGTTGCCTGGATTTTCATTGAGATGTCATGATCAGTAGGGTCTGAGAACAAATACTGGCTATTGGTGGTTACGCTAAAAATCGCAAATTGGCACAAGTTACATTCGAAGGGCCATTAGATTCCGTTCTAGTAGCTGAATGGTATTTATGCTCACCTTGGAACCTGGAGTTCCTGACTTCGGTGGGTCATTGGGTATGTGTCGATGAAGAGTCACAAACTGAGACGATACAACTGTCCATGACTCTCAGTTTTTTTAATGGTTCTTTAACTGATATCAGTAAGTAATCAAACTTTAAATCTTTTTTCTACATAGAAATTCGCTTACTTCTATATCATCCTCATACTGTAGAAATAGTAACGATGAAGCTTACTGGCTTAAGCACTGGGTTTTCAGCCAATAGGTCTTAGATTCGAATGCCTCCCCACCTAGGTTAACGTAGGCAACTGGTTAGTATCTCATCAGACCCTAACGCGTTATAATTTCTTTGGCCCATAGCCAAGTATATGAAATTTCTTTCCTGGTTAACTTAGTGTAAATAAATAAACTAATTATAGAAAGAAAACACTCAAGATAACCTATTGCTGTATGGTGTTATACTACACATTGTTTTATCTTTTCTCGTGTATCTTATTTTCCTTGTTCCTCCCCCCCCTTCGTCGTCACACGCTTTGCCCTCCCAACCCACTGTAAATCTCAACATCTGGATATGCATTTTAATGTCTTGTTTTCTTTCTTCTTATCTTTATCTGTGTATCAATCTAGCTCCTTCTGAGACTGATAAACAATTACCCAGTGATCATATTGATATAATATTAGATGTTCTAGAAGAAAGACCAACTATATCTACACCTTGTGTAATTACTTCATCTTCCCCTGCTGGTGATTTCTTCACCAATAACACTAATACTGTTTTTACATCAAGAACAATGAAGAGTCTAGGCACTTCTTCGTCTACAATTCCTAATGATGATGGTGGTAATGATAATGATGGTATTACGACATCTCCTCCAATCCCACCTAAACCTAGTTATATATCCAATACATTGTATTCAACTTTGCCTAGTCGAAGTTTACACGTGGTAAGTATTAACCTTCTTATTCATTTATGTGTAATTAAGATTTCGTTTGTGTGTATGTCTGTGATATGTTGGTTGTTTGAAGATAAATAATTAGTTTTCAAGTATTGGTTTGTAAGGATTAGAATATTAATGACATGCACCCTAGCAACTGACCCTATTCAGGCAGGTAGTTACCTGGGGTTTTAGTGGAAAGTCGTGACCAGTACAGCAGGTCGGGTGTGAGGACAAATTCTCGCCATTGACATTGGCTAGTGGTCGCGCTATATCGTGATCTGGTCATTGGATCGGGTCCCAGCGGTTTAATGGTCTATGAGCTCGCTTGCTTTGAAACTGGAAGGTCCTGGGTTTGAACCCTGGCAGTTAAGTAGGCGCGCACTGCTGAGGAGTCCCAAACTAGGCTGACGAAACAACTGTCCAATACTCCGAAGTTTTCCAGGGGTTCTCTCACCAATGTCAGCTCATGAGGAAATTCAATAAGTTTTCAGTTTGATTAAATAGGTTCGCGATGTTAAATGTTTAGCTTTTATTTGTGAACTAATCCGACTGTAGTATGAACAACTTAACTAGATACTCAGCATCTTCAGATCGGTCGTGGGTTAGAAAATAGGTTTTTTTTTATTAAAAATGCTATAAAGTCCAACAAGCTGATGGTTAATTTATGAAAGTGTGATTTCTTTTATAGTCTCCAAATCACCTGTAGTTGGAACTGATTAATAACATAACACCTAACATATCAACTGTTGCTTGCGGTACATGGTAGCACGTAGTACATTATTTTCATTACAGTGCAGTAATACACCTTTATGTATAACTATGCTGTGAGGGAAATGGATTATACCTGGAAGCTCAGTGATCCTGTTACATTTATGGTCGATAGATTTTCGTCAGAGTCTAGGGGGTATAAAGCACCTATACCCCACCCCCTAAATGATTCTGTTTTGCGGTGAATAGTTAGTGTTATTAATCTATCTAGCTTATAGAACAAGACGTATAAACGAACAATATTGTTTTCAATCAGATCTTCAGGCTTTACTCTAATTTGCATAGATTTATGTGTAAAATTTTTAACCAGTGACGGTGATTTCGTGGATCAAACAATAATAATGTAGTAAATGTCTTGAATGTCATTCATAACGATGATTATAATCAATAAAAATAATGACAATGAGGTTTATGCATGCGGCCATAAGAGTTTAAATAAATATCATTAAAACACGAAGAGAATGAAAGAGAAGACAGAGTGGGCGGGTTTTAATTAGATTTTACCTAGACCAAGGTGGAGCAAACTACTTTTGTATACAAAGACTAGGATTGTTCTCTCGAATTAATCCCCATGGCTTCGGCAATGTATAAAGGGCGGTTTTGAATTCTTTTTGAAAGACTCGATGGAACGCGACAGATAACTTTGAAGGTACTTCTTCTGTCCACTTGGTGACCGTTATCAATCAAATGAGTCAAAATAGAACTTATAGATTTTATTTGGCCTTTTCCCAACCATAAAGGAAGATGCTCATTAATACGTATGTTGAGTTGTCTAGTTGTTCGCCATATATAGATTTGTCCGCAGGAGCAGCTAAATTTATAGATATACATAAAAGTGGCACATCTATGTAGCTTATCTTTCACTTGCGCAATCATGATTGGTCGGCTGTATGGTGTTTGATAGAGTTTTTGCAAGAATACATTGGAGGTCTCTGTATACTGTACTGCTAGTGTAATTGAACGAGGTGTCCTCCCCACACCCATATTCTTCAGTCATCCTTTCTGTTGTTGTTTGTAATTCATCTCTGACTGTTTGACAGACTCAGTCTCAGCAGGGGACTGTGCACAAAAGTTATACCAGTTCAAGTCGTCACACTCTATGAACCATATAAATGTGGAGAAAAGAGATACAAAAGAGCTAAAAAAAACAGGTAGAAATTTGCATGAGAAAGAATGCTTACATGGAAAAACATGATGGCTTACCGGAGCTGGAAGATCACAGATAATGAATGCATCTGTGCCACTGTTATGGCTGGAACTACAACGTAGTAGACTATGAGTGAATACTAACTTAATGCTCTGGCTAATCTCTTCTAATCGCACATGAACAACAACAATAACACCACCGAACCACAAAGGCAGAATAAAACATGACTGGACGTCGACAAGAGAGCTTTTACTGTCTCAAAACAATAGTCAAGAAAAGTTTAACAGCCCTTGTTTAAAAGAACTTTGAGGGGCACTAACGTCGTTGATAAATTAAGCAGTGAAAAGCCAATGGGATTTCAAAGGTCATAAGTAGAGTGAAAGAATATCAAGTCATAAATCAATAAGTGGAGCGAGAGAAATACAAACAGACATGTAGAAAATTAGGTCTATATATCAGCCACTGAGAATGATTTTGAGTCATATCAGTAATAGTCTCCAGTCCAGTAATTCTCACCATTCTAAAGATCTCAAACACGCAGTCTACGCCTCACAACATAACTAACTCAGATTCACTGTGAAAGACTTCATGGATTGATTCCGGGTTTTAGTTTAAAAGTACTTTCAACTCTTTTCTAACCTAACCCTATGCCGCCTAACATTTCTTGTCGCATGCTGACTGGTCTGGAACCATACACTTTTCATCTGCGTCATAGTTCTAATGATGTTGGGTACATCCACATACTGCTTACAATTAGCTATAAAAAATTACAATATCTATACATCAGAAAAATGCCTTGCCTTGATGAAATAGACAAAGTGATATTGGGAATCCGAGAACTATTTGCTTATTGTTTAAGTCAACTGCATAAGGTGATGTCTGTTATGACTAGTTCTTTATACATAAAGATAATGAATTATAAAATGTACTATATTAAACATCAACAACACCAACAGACCACAATAAGCATAAATGGGAAGAACCTGAAAGAAACAACCTCCTTCACCTACCTGGGAAGCATCGTCTCAACTACAGGCGGAACTGACGAGGACATCAAAGCCAGAATCGGAAAAGCAAGACAAGCTTTCATTACTCTCAAATCTGTGTGGAGGTCAACAGCACTCAGCATCAAAAATAAGATCCGGATTTTCAACTCCAATGTGAAGTCAGTGCTACTATACGGATGGATCAGAGACTTGGCGAGTCATAAAGAGCATCTCAAACAAACTTCAAACCTTCATTAACAACTGTCTCCGCTCAATACTCAAGATCAGATGGCCAGAAAAGATCAGCAACAGGGATCTCTGGGAGCGAACCAATCAGGAACCGATTGTGAAACAAATAGGCAGAAAGAAATGGAGATGGATTGGCCATACGCTGAGGAAACCATCAAGTGACATCACTAGACAAGCCCTCGAGTGGAACCCGAAAGGGAGGCGGCGAGTTGGTCGTCCAAGGGTGACTTGGAGGAGGTCATGCGAGGAGGAGATGAAAACATGTGGACAGACCTGGAGCAGGTTGAAAAAGTTGTCAGAAAACCGAAGTCAATGGAGGTGCGCAGCTGAAGCCCTATGTTCCTCTAGGAACTAAAGGATACAATAATAATAATAATATTAAACTGTATAATAGCCTTCTAAAAATGTTCCTTTTTATCTTTTTGCCTCATTATAGAATAGGACTAGTTCTGTTTCGGTTAATTCAAATTTGCCTACTGTACTTGACTCTTCCAGTTGTTTAACCTCTTCAACATCAACACCTGTAACTAAAACAACAACAACAACCTCAGTATCATCATCTAGTCAGTATACCGACTCCTTGAAATCTTCTTTATCCCAGCATATAAATGGTAAGTTCTGTGTTTGAAGCTCAATCGTGTATACAGCTGTTTTCCGATTATATATGCTCAGTTATAACAGGTGAGTGGGTGGCACAGCGGTAGAATGATCGCCAACCACGCCTCCTATGGTTCGGGGTTCGATCCCCGGCTACTGACTCACCACTCCTTTACCTCGCTAAGTCAGTAATAAGACTGGTAAAGAGGGAAGGTTGGGCGCGAGGCTAGCAACTCCACTGCTACTGAAACTCCAAACCTCTAGCTTGAAGCCCTATGCTCCACTAGGAACGTAATGAAATATAATATCAATAAATAATAACATAACAGATATATCACTTGTATGGAGTGTTGAGTGTTTAGAAACGAATAAAAAAGGTGAGTGTGTTTAGGTTTCTTATCTTATCTTACCTCTTGTTATTAGTTTATTAAATCGTGGAAATCAGTTTCTGTTGGCTTATAAGTTGCCTGCCTTCACTGATACTGATGCATCGTTGCTGCCTTTAAGATAATTTTGATTATCTAGTCTAGAATTATATCATCAGGAAAATCTGTGGTGAGAGCAGGCTGCTAGCCAATTGGTAGACGTTAATTTACGTCAGTGTCTAGGTCGCTAATATTGGCCGTGGGGAAATATAAACAAGGTTGATTCAACAACCGATCACAGCAAACTTAACGTGGGCGAATACGATTCGCAGACACATGGCTTAACTTTCTGAGAAACCAGTCACAAGCAGTACAGAATAACCTTGAGCAAGAAACAACCAATCAGAAGACTGTGTTTGTCTGCTTGAGTAAGCTATAATAATGTACATGAAATATATATATATAAATACGTGCTGATTTCCTTAATAAATGATCTGTTGACTGGCCTCTGTCTTCTGTTGTTACAAATCTACGTACTTTCGTCGTGTAGTTCTGATTTTCGTACCTAGACTCGAATACAAAACTAATATGTTTTCAAAGTCAAGACTTTGTTTGTTTGCTTTGCTTTCTTAGAAGCACACAACAGAGTTATACGGCATTTAGTAAAAAGAATAACGGTGAGTAAAATGAAGCTAGATAGATAGAACATTCATTGAGAATAATAATAATAATGGTAAAGCTTTATTTAAGACAGTATGCGAATATACGGTACAAAAATTTTCAGCGTATTCAGTTCCAAAGTACTCTTTCCTTCACACAGGATTCACATGTAAAGTAATAATATGAAGTTTATCTTCATTTCGTTGAAAAATTGTACAGCGTTTACTTAGGAGCAAGTTAAAACATCGCGCAAGTTTATGTATAGGTCATTTGATATAACTGGACGATTAAAGCAATGATAAATCCAGATGAAATTAAGCATTTTGGAGGAAAGTAATTTCAGTAGCCCAATGATTTAAGCAGGCCGCTGTTCAACAGTTTGACTGAACAAAGGAGAGCATACATAGAGCCAGTAATTCCTCTATATTACAATGCATGCACTAAATAAGCGATGATTTGCCACATATATGTGCATTTATCAATTCAACTGCACCCGACCGAAAGCTGCTACCTTGACGTGGTGGTCGGGCTTGAACACCGCAATGATCTATTCAAGCTATACTGGCTGAGACTTATGTCTCTTGAGGTACTACCATGCCAGGCAGGTTGTTTGGATAGCGGTTAAACAAAAAGCAGCTACCCAATCCAACATCATGTCCAATACAAAATTTCATGCCGGATCGGCCGTGGCCCGGATTAACAACGACCGCGCTTCCTGCTGCCGTGTCACAGGGCGGAGTGATAAATATGCTACTGAGACACACAAAACAAAAGAACAAACAAAAACAGGCCGCGTGTGACCGGCCTCAAGCAGTTGTCCCCTGGGCTCTGCGGTCACGCAACCAACTTCCACGGTGTGGGCAGCCGGGAAGTAACAATCGCCCTCACAATCCGAAATGCACACGAAACCTCTCTATTACTCACTCATCTTTGTCTTCATCTTCATCTCTATCATCTTGCCTTCCTTCCACTGATGCAACTCCTCGACTTGATAGCTCTCCACTTCCTCTCCACTCTGCGTCCACTAAAAACGATGGAAGCCAAAAAACCACCACCGACAGCCTCTTAAAGCCGCGCCACCAATTTCATATAGGAGCTCTTAATGTTAGGACACTTTGCCAAATAGGACAACAAGCATCACTAGCCAAGACCCTGGCATCACGAGCCATTGATGTATGCTGTGTTTCAGAAACACGCATACAAGACCCAAGTGTGGTTATTCACCTAACCCCACCTGGCCAACAGGTTGAATCTGCAAAATTCACCCTGAGGGTGTCAGGAGATGCCACAGCTAGTTCACGAGGATTAGCTGGCGTAGGGATAGCTTTGAGTACTAGGGCAGAAAAGACATTGCTTGACTGGATCCCGGTAGATAGCCGAATGTGTGCTGTCCGCCTGAACGGATCAGTAAGAAGGAGGAAGGACTGCACTACTCGCCGATGCCTTTTCGTAATCTCCGCCTACGCCCCCACTGACTGCAGTTCAGATGAAACGAAGGATGAGTTCTACCAAAAGCTGTCTAGTTTGGTGGAAAGGCTAAACGCTCAGACATAGTCGTTCTAGCTGGTGACTTTAACGCTCAAGTAGGGAAATTGTGTCAATCTGAGAAGGATGTCGGTGGCACCTATGGAGCTCCGTGCCAGCGAACCGACAACGGTGACCGTCTCCTACAGTTCTGCTCTGATAATCATTTGTTTCTTGTAAGCACTAACTTTAAACACAAGGAGAGACACTGTTTGACTTGGAGACCCCCTTCATCAAACCAACGCTGGACACAAATAGACCACATAGCAATAAGCTATCGTTGGCGTGGGTCGGTAGGAGATTGTCGCTCCTTCTGGAACACGTGCGTAGATACCGACCATGCACTGGTCCGCGCTCGGGTGTGCTTACGACTGAACGGACGTAGGAAACAGCTGGCGGTAAAACCATCACGTCCCCAGCTCGATCAGGAAACTAAATCCGTATTTGAGGAAGAACTAGCTAAACACATATCTGTGTTCGACAGCTGTGCTCACCCTGAAGAAGCTTGGAAAAATATCCAGGCAGCCATAGATACAGCTGTAAAAGCTGTGAATAAGGTAAACCCAAAGGTGAGTAAAAACCACTGGATCTCCACCGCCTCATCCGAACTGATAGATGCTAGAAGACTTATTCCGGCGAGCTCCGAATTCAATGAGGAGCGAAAGCTGCACAAGAGGAAACTTACGAAAAGTCTCCGCAAGGACCGTGAACAGTGGTGGGCGACAAAAGCCAAAGAGATGGAGAAAGCTTCGAGGATAGGCAACACCAGGCAACTCTTTGGACTCATCAGGGAAACGGGTGGGAGAAGACAAATCATCAGTGAGACAATCTCGGAAAAAAATGGCACTATAATTAGCTCCCAGGATAGACGACTGGATCGTTGGAAAGAGCATTATGAGGAGCAGTTTAATTTGCCCACAGCCACGCTCAACCTTCCGAGCATCCAACACCTCCCTGAATGGGATATAAACACAGGTCCTCCGTCACTAACTGAGGTTACTAAAGCTGTCACCAATCTGAAACTAGGCAAAGCAGCGGGACCTGATGGAATGACTCCAGAGGTATTTAAGTACGGTGGAGACAGCTTACTGTCCGGATTAACTGAGGTACTAGGCAGCGTCTGGGAATCAGAAGAAGTCCCATCGGGTTGGTGTAAGTCACTGATTATCCCCATATACAAGAAGGGAGACAAGTCTTCCTGTGATAATCACAGAGGGATTAGCTTGACTAATATAGTATCTAAAGTCTTAGGCTCAATAATCATGCGTAGACTGAGTGGTGCTCGGGAAGCACAAACACGAGAGAGCCAGGCAGGCTTTAGACCAGGAAGAGGGTGTATTGATCATATCTTCACCCTCCGACAGATTCTAGAACATAGGCATTCCTACCGGCGTCCAACAGTCATTATATTTCTTGACCTAAAGGCAGCATTCGACTCTGTCGATCGGGAAGTTCTCTGGAGATGCTTGGCTGTAAAGGGAATTCCAAGAAAATATATTGCACTGATTAAGGCACTCTACTCGTACTCATACAGCCAGGTGAGGGCTTACGGCGAGCTGTCATCTGAACTGATGACGACCAGTGGTGTCCGTCAAGGATGCCCATTATCTCCTTTTCTATTCAACTTCATCATAGATGTGTTAATGGACTTAACCCTAGGTGACTTCAGCGATTCAGGGATTGACTTGCTACCGGGGAATAATCTCGTTGACTTGGAATATGCAGACGATATAGTCCTTCTAGGCGAAGACGCTGACGAAATGCAGAGTCTTCTAAACACCTTGAGCCGCAATCTACGAATGTTTGGCATGCGATTCGCTCCCGCCAAATGCAAGATGATGTTACAGGACTGGACTACATCGACGCCTAGTTTAAAAATAGGAAGTGAAGTGGTAGAGCACGTTGACCGCTTCACTTATTTGGGAAGTACCATCAGCCCCAACGGGCTGATCTCTGACGAAATCTCAGCACGAATACAAGGGGCTCGTTTCGCATTTGTTAGTTTACGCCGACTCTGGCGTAGACGAGATGTTCGACTATCGACCAAAGGGCGGGTGTACTGCTCATCAGTCCGCTCCGTCCTCCTTTATGGTTGTGAGACCTGGCCACTGAGAGTGGAAGACATGAAAAGACTAGCTGTCTTTGATCATAGGTGCCTGCGTTCTATTTCCCGTGTAAAGTGGCATAATAAGGTGAGCAACATGGAGGTTAGGCGTAGAGTTCTAGGTAAACAGGGGAAATCAATCGACGAAGTCGTGAAGCTACAAAGACTGAGATGGTTAGGACATGTGTTACGTATGCCAAGCCATCGCCTCCCTCGACGAGCAATGTTAGCGGATATAGGGTCAGGCTGGAAAAAAGCTAGCGGCGGTCAAACAAAAACTTGGCATCAGTCAATGAAATCCACAACAGTTGGTCTAAGCCACGTAGAAAGGTGTAGACTTCCAGGCTGGGGTCCTCGGGACGGTAAAAATCTATGGTTGGAAACAATTGGTGACATGGCTCAAAATCGTTCTCAGTGGCGCAGATGCATCCACTCCCTGTGACTTATGATCTTCAATGAAACTGTTTTGTATTTCTTTATTACTCCTTTGTCTCACACCTCTGCTCACTGTTTCTATTATGCTTTTCTTGTACTTTCTTCTCTTGCTTCGCGTGCTACACGGAATGTGGCGACTTGAACTTCCGCACATTTGTGCAAAGTTCTATGTCGAAAACAGACAGAGAGAGACAATGACAGTTATGTAGGGCGTACCACCAGACAGCTTAGCCAACCAATGTGTTACTGAACATCTCCCATTGTCGTTTGGCAAAAACATCCGTAACTCCATTTTGTCACATTTAGAGTTGATAACGGTCATATAGGGGAGAAAACGAAAGCTTTCAAGGTAATTCGTTGCATCCCACCGAATCTTTCCAATAGACTTCGTATTCGTCTACTGCATACAGCTGAGGCAAATAGTCATTCAAATTATTAAGCCTAGTCTATGCATTCGAAAAAAGTTCGTACAGCAATTATCCGTCCCTTGGCCTATTAAGACCTGGTCAACTGATGACTTCTCCACCACCGCTTACTTATATTTTCAACCCCTTTGTTATCATCCCTTAATCTGATCACATCTTCATTAAGACGTGTTTTATTTACTTCCCTTACAGTCTACCACTACTTAATCGGTCCATTTGTTAATCTTAGTCTTAATCGACTACTATGTCTACCTGAACATTTGTTTATTTAATCATGCTGTTTTTCGTTATTCGTGTTATCATAGATCGCCTCACTTTTTCATCCTTACTATTTTTATAATCATTATTATTATCATTAATTACTACTGTTATGACTAATTGCATAATTTATGTGCACCATCTTATTATCCTATAGAGGTGGTGACTGACTGACTTAATTCAACACTGCATCTTCATTTAATGCATAGATACTCTGAAGTAGTGGGCTCAGAAATACACTTTAACTCAATTGTTTGGAAGTTTGTTGTGCATTGCTCAATATTACTTCCTACAATCAAGATATTGACTTTTTAAAGTGCTCATTCTGATAATTGTTTCTATCCTCTTACCATTATTCTTGTCTATATGTTATTCAACATTGTAGATAGATTTGGAAGTATTTCATCAGCAGCGTGTATTCCAGCATCGATTACTGCATCACTTGCATCGAAATCCACGGAGTCACCATCGAAACTAACAAGTAATGGTAATAGTATTTCAGTAGCAAATTGTAAAGTTGGTGATCTACTTGAAGCTCTGTATGATTGTGAAGCAGAGAATTCTGATGAATTAACATTTTCACGTGGAGAAATAATACAAATATGTGATAAGCCAGACGATGATTGGTGGGTAAGTGAGGAGTATAAGTTTTTTTAAAGACAAGAGTTGAAACTCAATTGATAGATTACTTTCTTTTGTTTCATATTCTGTCATGTCATCGTCTGTATTCTCACTAGAAAGAAAAGAACAGAAAGTTCACTTAAGGTATCTTTTCACCGATTTCATCCTCTAAAAACTGTACACTCGCATTTTTATGCATACATTCATATACTTACAATCACTACTTAATTCAATATAGTAGTAATTGGAGGTTAACGGAGTTAATAATTTTCAATTTGAAATGAAAGCTTGGAGGTATGAATTTAGATTACAAGGGGCATAGAAACAAAATTACGTAGGAGTGGAACATTAGTTGCACAATATATAAAGGGGTTTTTAAAAATAATGGGTGTGAATTACTATGATTATTATTATTATTCTGTTGGGTACCGAGTGGAACGTAGGGCTTCAACAACACATCTCCACTTTTTTCTCTTTTCTGATGTCCTCTTCAGCTGGGTCCACGATTCCCCATGACCTCTCATCTTCTCCATATCACCCTCGCATTGACCACCTACTCGTCGTTTCTCATTGGGTTTCTACTCGACCGATGACCTGACGCGCGATGTCATTCGACGGTCTCCTCAGTGTATGCCCACCCTATCTATCTCCATTTTCTCCTAGATATTTGTTGAACAATAGACTGTTGGTTGGTTTGTTCACTGCCAGAATTTCTTGTCGCGAATTCTTTCTGGTGGACTGGTCATTTGATCTTCAGTAAGGAGCCAGAGAAATGGGCAGCTGCTGATAAGTGTGTACTTGCCTGTTGGTAACGCTCTTCGTAACGCATAATGTAAGTTTCTCATCCACATAGAAGAACTGGCTGAATTGACATTGATGTTGAAAATCCGAATCTTGTTGTTTATGCTGGGGCAGAGTGCAGAAGATTTTCTAACTGGTTTCAGGTTGGTGGGTGCGTATCTTCCCTTCCCGGTTTTGCCTAACTTTGGCATCTTCATCCGTTCCGCCCGCCTGTGGTTGGAACCGCCCTTCCTAGCCGGATAAGTGAAGGAAGTAACCTTTGTCAAATCTCTCCCGTTGATATTGATTGGTACCGGTCGTTGATGCTCTTGGGTAACTGAAGATGAAAAAAACAAAAGCTATGCATCCAAACAGAACCAGATCCATGGTAAATGTAGAAGTTAGAATAGTTTCTTTTGAATACATATCTCCGGCTCTTCCATACATATGGCGAGGATTTCTACAGTACAAAGAAGTTAAAAATGCACCATTGTATTAATAGGTTTTTGTTCACTTTGTAAATGACTCTCAATGATGAGTCAGTTAAGATATCGTTTTAATGAGGTGTTAGAGTGCTTTTAATTGAACCAGTGCTCTTCTTTGCAAATATGCTGGATAGTGAGTGTACTCTGACACGTTCTATTATTAGAATTCACTATAATTACAAATAGTGTAGTGTTCTTCTTTTTCTTCTCATTTTCTAATGGGTTTTGTTTTTGTATACATGTATGATTTTGTTTGTACAATAACTAAAAAGGTTAGTGATGATGAATTATAGGTTTATTATTTTGAGTGTAGCCAGTTAGTTGGTACATGCGTCATCAATCATCATCTGATTACTATACACATTGTAACCATATTAATGATACATAAAAGATTTAGCCGATTAGAGAGCTTATTTCTACTTGTACTGCTTGTATATCTTTGAAACTGCGGCAAAGACACCGCTTTTCGTCACTTCCCTTCAAAGCTGTACGATCACTTTTTTGCTCGGGGGTGCTCCCTCCGCGTGTGTGTGGAGGTCAACAGCACTCAGCATCAAAAATAAGATCCGGATTTTCAACTCCAATGTGAAGTCAGTGCTGCTATACGGATCTGAGACTTGGCCAGCGCGTCATAAAGAGCATCCCAAACAAACTACAGACCTTCATTAACAGTTGTCTTCACTCAAGATCAGATGGCCAGAAAAGATCAGCAACAGGCATCTATGAGAGCGAACCAACCAGGAACCAATTGTGAAACAAATAGGCAGGAAGAAATGGAGATGGATTGGTCATACTCTGAGGAAACCATCAAGTGACATCACTATACAAGCCCTCGAGTGGAACCCGAAAGGGAAGTGGCGAGTTGGTGGTCAGTGCGAGGGTGACTTGGAGGAGGTCATGTGAAGATGAGATGAAAACATGTGGGCAGACTTGGTGCCAGGTGAAAACTCTAGCAGAGAACCGAAGGCAATGGAGACGCGCAGCTGAAGCCCTATGTTCCTCTAGGAATTAAATGAAATAATTATGTAATAATAATGATAATAATAAATTGACACTAAAGGTCCAGAGGTTATTGTCAGTTGGTAATGAAATAAATCAGTGTATTATGAGTCATAACAATATGTGAAAGAAAAGTGAATAATCTTACGTAATTGAGTGAGTTGACAACTAATTAGTTACGTAACGAATGATCATTTGGCAATAATCGATAGGAAACCAATAGAAAAAAGGACTGAAAATGGGCACTATAGCTACGATAGTAAAAGGATGCTCTGTAAAAATGTTTTTGAACACAAAATTCAGGATTTTCTTTCTGGAATACTTAAGCTTTGACTCTATGAAGATCTAGGCGAAATTCTTGTGAACGGCTTGATTGTGCTTTATATCTGACTCCAAATGAAGTCTCTATGGATCATCTTGCATAGTCAAAAGTGATAATGTGTTCCAGAGAATTAAGCATTCTATTTTTGACAACCATACCGGCAAGTGTTCAGGGCTGACTGGTTTCAGCGTAGAACTTCGCAGATGTGCAGCAGTTTTAGTTGCCACACTCCATGTAGCATGCAAAGCAAAAGAAGAGAGTAATAAGAGATTCAAAAGAGAGATAATAAACAGAAGTTTGAGTGAGGGAAAAAGAATAGTAATATGGAAGAGCAATAAAGTTTTATTGGATATAATAAATCACAGAGAGGGAATGCATCTGCTCTGTCGTTGAGAAAGATTTTGAGCAATATCACGAATTGTCTCCAGCCGTCGTCATTGGATCTTACCATCCTGAGGGCCCCAACCAGGAAGTCAACATCTCCCGACGTGGCTTAAACTAACTGTCAAAGATTTTACGGACTGATTTCATGTTTTGGTTTGACTATCACTAGTTCATTTACAACCTGATCCTATATCAGCTAACATTGCCCACCGGTCGAGGAAGGAGATGGCTAGGAATGCGTAACATATGTCTCAATCTATGTGACTTCACAACCTCACCTATTGACTTCCTCTTCGCACCCAATACTCGGTGCTTAACTTCAACTTTACTCACTCTATTATACCACCTGACGCAGGAGAAAGAACGCAGACACCCATAGTTAAAGACAACTAGTCTTTCCATGTCTTCCATTTTTAATGACCGCGTCTCACAGCCATAAAGGAGAACGAAGCGAACATCCTTTGTTCGATAGCTAGTCGGATATGAGAGAAATTGTAAACTTTTACAATTTCTCATTTGTTTCCATTTTGATAGTTTGTTTTCCTCGTGGCATTTGGACACTTCAAATTGTAGTACACTATTATTATGATTATTATTATTTTTGCTATCACGTTCATTTCCTATGTTGGAATCTCACTATAGAATATTTTCACAACTTTCCTTATCATTAGTCATATTATAAGAAATCACTTTCTAAATGATCGAAATTGTTTGTTTCGGCTTTTTTCGTGTGTGTGTGTGTGTGTGTTTGTGTGAAATTTATGTAAATATTTTTTTGGCTCAATTGGTTGTTTGTGTCACTGAATCCTCTCTCTCTTATAATTCCATTATGGAACAGTTGTGGGCTCATCAAAATGTGTGTGTAATCACGTTTCATACGTGTATGTCTATGCTTATGCCTTGTATACTGAAGAGGTTGATAAAATGCATAGTCTGTATAATTTATTCTTAGTTCAGTTTGTTCTGTTTACGTTCTCATTTTCTTCACATAGTAGTACTATGGCAAGGTCATATGTCGTTGTGATTGTTCATTTCTAGTGTGCACACAAGCCTGGCAAAGTTAAACTATCATAGCCATAACCACAGTGACCACGAGCAACCAATCAGAATTCAGGTGCAAAAAAGTCGCATAATCGTTGAAAAATACACTAAAAAATTATTGCAAACATGATATGATTACACTTTATAGTTGCAGGCTTATATGTTTTAAGAATGTCTCCCAGTCAATACACAGATGATCTATAGAGAAATCCTACTATGCTCGGTATACCCATTCATCCAGGTGACTTTGGGTCATGGTACTTTAAGATCCATTGATACCTTTACACTATTCTGTAACCTACTCCTAACTTTAATCCTAAACCTTAATCTTAAAAGCCATAAGCCTACCCAACAGTACAGGTTTGCAGGAAAAGTGCCTATTAAATAAGTAGAATACGTATATATCCTCTCCAAGACCAAAAACAGACATAATATGATTTGGAATGACATTTCATAGCATTCCGTGTGTGTCTAGTTGGTTCTCGAAGGTCAACTTTTTAGTGACCTTGACTTTTGGCTATGAAACTTTAACTTCGCCCCATAAGCCTTTATACTATTGTCGAAAATAGTCGTTGGTTGGCAATCATTTCAAAATATCTGTATGGAAACATTCTATTCTTTAAGTTGCTTATAAAAATTTCTTCTCGGATGATAATATTCCCTGATAAAACTGTGTGTGATGTGATAAAATACACTCATCACCTTTGTAATGGAAACTTAGTGGATACATATGAGAATAAAAGGTTCACGTATCTATTCCAACAGTCTTACTGAATTTTTTTAGTTTAAATTCTCATTTTGTTATGTCACATTATATCTTTTATGTGTGTTGGTATGTTTATGTACATTTCAGTCTTAGTCACTCATCTCCTGGTTTAACCATTGTATCGCTTTTTGTGACACAATCCAATCACTTACGATGTGGATAAAAAAAGACTGACGAATCAATGCCAATCTTCAAATGTTGGTTTACAGCGGTTTGATTGGTTTCGGTATTGATCACAAACTAACTTCAGTTAGAGAACAACTGCTGCATCTTTATTTAAGACTTTTCAGGAGTACGCACCCATGACACACCCCACTATGGGTCGAACCTAGTTCGTCGACTTTTCACCCCACTGGGACGCAGTTCACTGATTCCTGAATTCTGACTTCTACTATTTCGCGGTATATAGCGCAACTAACAACAGTCAGTGTTTTGTCGGCGGGTATTTGACCCATGGCTGACCCCACTGTTCATGACTTGTCACTAGAATTTGAGACGATTTCCTCCTTGTATTCAGTCGATGAGTCTCAAGCTAGAGCGAAACAACTCTCTGATACTCCCTGGTTTTCAATGGTTCTCTAACTGATGTGTTAGCTTGTGCTCAGTCTTAGCATTCATGTATCACTGAATGAATAAAATTTGATGGTTGTCTACCAAGCTACTCGCCTACATATGTAAGTAGTACGTCTACACTAGTTTTAAAATACTAGTATCTTTATTCATTATACGTAAACATAGTTTTAGCCGGGGGAGATATGTGTATTATGTGTATATGCGGATGATATCACGAATATTCACTGAGGCGAGAGATCAAAAATTCAATTGAGACTTCGATTATTCAGACTGTAATTGGCTGATTTTTTAACTTGAAAATGTCGAAAAACTCAAGTGAATATTTTGAATGCATAACGCTATGATAACACTGATTCCATACTAGTTTGTAGATTAACTGAGGTACTAGGCAAAGTCTGGGAATCAGAGACAGTACCATCAGACTATGGTAAGTCACTTATTATGCCGATATTCAAGAAGGGAAACAAGTCCTCGTGTGATAATCATAGGGGGATCAGCCTAACGAACATAGTCTCTAAAATCCTAGGCTCAGTAATCATGCATAGACTAAGCAGAACTCGGGAGGAACAGACAAGGGAAAATCAAGCAGGTTTTAGACCAGGTAGAGGGTGCATAGATCATATCTTCACTCTTCGACAGATTCTAGAACATAGACACACTTTTCGGCGTCCAACAATTGCCATATTTCTTGACTTGAAGGCGGCCTTCGACTCCGTGGATCGAAAGGTACTATGGCAATGTCTGACTGTGAAGGGAGTGCCAAGAAAGTACATTGCACTAATCAAGGCACTCTATTCAAACTCACGTAGTCGTGTAAGGGCTTATGGGGAATTGTCATCTGAATTGGTAACAACCAGTGGTGTCCGACAGGGATGTCCACTTTCCCCATTTCTGTTTAACTTCATCATAGATATGCTAATGGAAGTATCCTTAACTGAACGTAGTGACTTAGGAATCGACTTGTTACCAGGGAATAATCTAATGGACTTAGAATATGCAGATGACATAGTCCTGTTAGGGGAGGATGCTGACAAAATGCAGAGTCTTCTGAACACCTTGAGCAGCAATCTTCGTATGTTTGGCATGCGATTCGCCCCTGAAAAATGTAAGATGCTGCTACAGGACTGGACCCCGTCAATCCCTAACTTAGTGATAGGGAGTGAAGTGATAGAACATGTTGACCACTTCACCTATTTGGGAAGTCGTATTAGCACCAACGGACTGATTGGCGATGAAATCTCAGCACGGATCCGAAAAGCTCGAGCTGCTTTCGCTGACTTACACCATCTCTGGCGTAGGCGTGACATCCGGCTATCAACCAAGGGACGTGTGTACTGCTCATCAGTTTGCTCCGTCCTTCTCTATGGCTCTGAAACATGGCCAATACGCGTTGAAGACATGAAAAGGTTGACTGCTTTCGACCATAGATGTCTGCGATCTCTGTCTCACGTTAGGTGGTTTCACAAGATAAGTAATGTTGACGTTAGGCGTAAAGTGTTGGGCAAAGAGGGAAAATCAATCGACGAGGCTATAAAGTTACATAGACTAAGATGGCTAGGTCACGTGATGCGCATGCCTAACCACCGCCTCCCCCGACGGGCTTTGCTAGCTGATATAGGTTCAGGTTGGAAAAGAGCCAGTGGTGGCCAAACAAAAACATGGCATCAATCCATGAAATCCTTGACAGTTAAACTGAGTCAGGTAGGGAGATGCAGACTTCCGGGTTGGGGCCCTCGGGACTCTAGGAATCAATGGCTGGAGACAGTAGGTGAAATGGCTCAAAATCGTTGTTAATGGCGCAGATGTATTCAGTCTCTGTAATCTTTCATATTCCTTTCTACCATTATCCATTCTGTTTCACTCTTATACTTGTCAAACTCTATTGATTCTCTTCACTCATCTTCTTGTCTACCTCTGTGTGCTATTTGGAACGTGGCAACTCGAACTGCTGCACTTCGGTGCCAAGTTCTATGTTGAATCCAGACAGACTGATTCCATTGATTGACATGAGTAGTTGGACACTAGTCATATCAATGAATAGTGCTTCTAAGCCACGTTGAATTGATTGGAACATTGAATTAAGTGAGTAATTGTTGGTTTCAATTAGCTCTTCTTTAAGCTTCAACCTACTGTGCATATAATAATGCGGTACTATTTAAATGACCAAAGGAAAATTACTCACTGGGGGACGATAGCAGAGAATGTGGATATTGTAGTGGTGATTACAGTATACCGAAAAATTATTATTACAGTATCATCCATCACATTATGTAAAGTATTCTGCAACATTCACATTCTGTTTATGTAATACCTTCACTGACTTGTATACTTTTATTATATTACTATGCATTGTAGGGGGTTTTTTATGCTTTAAACTCACATTGTCTTTTAGAGAGGCTGTCATCCGTGATGTACATAACTGCACGACTTCACACATTTTTATTTAATACATTACTTTGATTAGGAAATATTTTATGTTTGTATCAAGGGCTATCTATATTAGATGGTTGGAGGTGATTGACAGGAAGCCTTCCACCTAGGTTTCGTGCTAGTTGGCACTCACCAGTCGTCAGCAAGGCGCATCTGCAACTGCAACTAACTGGCTCACTCCACAGGAGCAGCCAGTGTGGTGGATACACATAGAAGAGGCGAAATTAGGTAGTGTATCTCTCTGATGTTATCTCCGAGGAAGTAAAGTTCTAAGGATAAGGCGTTCCTGTTTTGGAACTGTTGGTACTTTGACCTGTCTTCATATTCTTATCGATGAATTATTCTGGATAACTGCTCTCATTCAGTAAATGTTTAATAATATTAAGCTCTTCATTAAGACATTCATTAGATCACAAGTTGCTATTGCTCTGTGGACACCAAGCGCTTCATCAGATTGCCTTTGTATTTCAAAGGTACGAAGCTGAAAAAATGAGTATACTGATCAGTTGATATAGGTTTTGTGTATACACTTCTTCTTCTTATTTTACCATCCTCTTTTCTAGTCATAAGGACGTCTAGGAATGAAATACTAGAGTCTCTTTCTTTCTCGATGGTAAAATTTACTGTAGGATGAACATCGTTAAACTTGTCAACAAGGATGTTCTTTGCTTCATCCTCATTTTTCATAATCAAAACTGTGTCACATCTATATACCGGTAGTAAAATTCTAGTTCATCAACTACATCTTTCAAAGGCCTATATATATTCTATAGTTTCGCAAGTAAAATGTTAGCTAGAATAGGTCCTAGTAGTGACCTCATTGCCACACCAATTTGTCTGTATACTTTTTAAATAAAAAGTGAACATTCGTTCATTGTGCATTTTTATAGAGAAACTCTTTTTTATTTTATAAAAGAGAATATATGTAATGAGAGATTAACGCTTTTCTTCTCACCTTCAAATTGTTTTCCAGGAAGGTGTTATTCACTCGGATAAAAGTCGACGTGGAATGTTCCCAGTCACTTATGTAAAACCTTATCATCATCATGATGACAGCAATGATAATGATTGAAATATATATATATATATATATATATATATATATATATATATATATATATATATATATATATTGCATACAATTAATTAACTAACGGAAATTTATTCTATTTGTATCTCTAATATATACCGTGATCTTTATTACCACTTGCATTTTTCGATGAACTATAATAATAATATTCACAATTTTTCTCTCCTTATTTATGTTTTTATAGCTCTTTGGCTTTTATTGATTTATTTGATTTGTTTTGCTTATTTCTGTAAAATGAAATCTTTTAATAATACCTTACCTTTCATTTCCTTGATTGGTGTGTACTTAGAGGAGGGAGAAGAAAACAAAGAGTACTCTCTTCGTTTTTTGTTTTTGTTGTTTTAATTTCTTGATTTTCCACAACCACAACCCGCCATCTCTCCTCCAGTTATCATCGATCAAACCCTAGTTACTACCTACTTGGACCACAGAGTTGTGTGTTAAGGCAATCATCAATATGTTCTTTCTTATCGATTATTATGGTACTAATGTTAATACTGATGCCACTACTGCTGATTTTATTATGCCTTTTTTTCCACTCTTAACACAACATCTGTATATAGAGTGCTGCAATACTGGTGTGTATGTGTGTGTGTACGTATGCTATGCTAGTGAGATGTAAACAAGACGTGTTTTGTAAATAAATAATAACATTATTGAGATATGCATAGAATCTATATACCCTACCATTACAACTGTTCTTGAGGCATACTGTTAACAAGTAGTGATAATAATAATAAGTGTTGGTAATATTGGCTATTTTTAAATATATGATGAGATTTTCTTCATCCTATTACTTGATTCTGTTCATTTAGCTTTCGTTATGTGTTAATAAATAAGTGAAGTATATTGAGTATTATTCATTCTCTATTGTTATCCTTCTACTTTCGATGATCAATAACTGTTTTAAACATCCTACTATTCAGTACTGGATGCCTATGCATCCGTCTAACCAGTGTGTATAGATCTATCTATCTATATATTGATTGTATTTCCTCTGGGTTTCTCCCCCCTCTCTCTCTCTCTCCCTGCCCTTCACCAATAAACGTTGCAATACAATCGGACCAAATAGTTGCCAATACTATATTCTTTGGATTATATACCATTTTATCTTTTAACTTAGTTTAATCTTCTCTAGTTTTATTATTTGAGTAGTATTCATTATTATTAGTAGTATGTATATGTACATCTTTCGATGATGATGATTGCCTTTACTCACTTCTAGTCTAATTGTTATTGTTATTTGTATTACTTGATTACACAATAACAACTGATGGAAAACTCTACTGTTGTTTTTTATCTCGACCCCCTCCTCCTCCTCTGCCCTATCTCTCTCTCACTCTATCCCTTTTTGCATATGTAAATTATTTTTTTAATCTTTGTTGGCTTCATTGGATATTAATAATCATAATATTTTCTATTCGTATACTATTCACTATAATACTGTTGTTGCTGCTAATACTACCATTATTATTATCAGTATTACTATTATTATCATTATTATTATAATTACTACTACAAAAACTACTTTCGGTGGTTTCCAGTGTCATGATTTCAGTTTTCGTATTTTATATCTTCTGTAATGTGAATTTAAATAGCTATGCAGGAAGGAAGCAAACATATTGCCCTTAGAAAGGGATATTAATAGATAAAAAACAAGAGACATACACAGAGAGAATTATCTGATGTCATTATTGTTTATTAATATTATTAATAATACTATAATTAATTTGTTCCACTGTATCGTGATTCCACTGTTAAAAGTCTTCATTTCTAATTTAGTGATATATATATATATGTATATCTTCTGAGTTCATTTCTTCTTCCCTCATGTCTTCTTGTTACCAACTAACTAGGTATTCAAAACGGAAGAGCTTAAAAATAAGACTGCTCACTTTGTTTTCAATTACGGATCTTGAATACGCACGTGGTTCAGGGTTCGATCCCCGGCCACCGACGCACTCCCTTACCTCGCTAAGCCGGTAATAACACTGGTAAAGAGGGAAGGTTGGACATGAGGCTAGCAACCCCATCCTGTAAAAGTAAACACCACTGCTACCGAAACTTCAAGCCTCTCGCTTGCAGCCCTATGTTCCACTGGGAACGTGAAGGGATTAAAAAAATAATATTGACGCAGTACTATTAGTTGTAATAGTGGTATTTATACTCTAGTAGTGTAGTAATACTGTTAGCATTATTGTAGCGGTAGTAATATTACTAGTATTTTCGTAGTAGTCATTGTAGTATTCGCAATCGTATTGCAGTAGTAGTAATATTGTAACAATAGGAGACAAGAGCCAGGAAACAGATCGTTTATTAAAGAAATCAACACATATTTACAGATTTTCATGCACATATTATAGATTATTGTTATCAGAAAAACACAGTCTTCTGATTGGTCGTTTCTCACTGAAAGTCAATCTTTTATCTCTTTGTGGCTGTTTCTTGAATGTCAGATCATCTATATGCTAACTGTATCCGCCTACGCTAATTCCGCTGTGGTTGGTTTTCGAATCAGTCTTTGTTCATATTTTCTCACGACCAATATTGGGGACGTAAACACTGGCGTAAATTGCTGTCTACCAATTTGGCTAGTAGACAGCTCTCACCACAATAATACTAGTAGAACTGTAGTAGTATTTTGATGTATTGTAGTGGTGATATTTGTAAGAGTAATAGTATTGTCGTCGTTGTATTAGTAGAACAATATCATCAACAGACAAATATCACAGAACAGGCAATGAAAGCTGTGGAAATAGAAATAAATCATGAAGAAAGGCAAATATCAAGGACATGATATGATATGCATATTTCAAAACGGTAACATAGAGATCACAGAAAAGGGGTAGTAATTACAAAATTATTTAAAATATTTAAACAAGTTTCAATAATTTAGGTTGATTAATCATTGGAAGGAATCTCAGATCAACTGTTTTATTCCACCACCTTCATTCACGACTCTCTGGATATTGTTGGGGGAGGGGTAGGAAAACGAGAGGTGACAAAAGATTATATGCCTGCACAATAGCACATTGATACCCGCTACATTTATTCGATGTCAGGAGGATATTTAAGCTCATTTGAAAGTTGATTGAGATTGACAACGCCTTCATCTGTAATACGATAGATACATTTTCTATTAAAGTGACTAAGGCTTTTGAATGCCTTTAATCTTGGTAGTCATGATTCTTTGGGACGATGTCGTGCTTATTTTCTACAGAATTTTTCTTGAAAATGTAATCTTCTATGAAAAAATGTCGAAGCGTAACAATGAACATACAAAGTTTGTACTAAATACTGTCAGACAAACGATAAATAAGAGTGGGCTATGACTACGGAGTGCAAAATTTAAGGGAATTCAAGGACTACACAGTCAAGCTTTCATTTCAATCTCCTGATTTAAATTAAATTTAATCAAATTTGAAACGTGCGGAATACTTTTACACTTTTGTAGAGCATGAGGCATTTATCTGCATATTTATTAATAGTTATCATAATCAGTCATTCTTCACTCTCCTTTCAAATCTTAGTGTGCTCAAAGGCAAGGATTTTTACTAGAATGTTAGCAATATTCACATGCAACTGTCAAAAAGAATTTATGCTATGCGTGGTGTTTGTTGTGTACACGGAGTAAGCTTAGAAATCACTTGGTAAATTTGATGATTTCTCAGATTCTGCCTACAGTATGAAACTGAGTGCTTGGGTGAGATGACGTCTAAGAGTGTATAAATCCATATGAGAAATGATATTTGAATACCTTACTCTACATTACTGATGAAGTCGGTCGAAACAGCCAGAGATAAGAAGTAGAGTTATGGCCATTTTTGGTTGGGCACTAGTTAGTAACTGGTGTAATGTGAGTGTCTAGTCCTATCTTTGGTGCAGACTGAATTCTATCAGTCAAGTTTGCAATGTGGCCACCATACTAGGTGGTTCACCATCACGACACACTGTGAATAGTTGGCATTAGATGGTTGTAGGTAGTCGTCAGGAAGCCTTCCATCTAGTTTTCGTACTATTTGGCACTCATCAGTTGTCAGCAAGGCGTATATGCAACTGCCTTGAAGGAACCCATATTCCCTGTCTGAGATGGGAACCCCCATCACCCAGTGCTGCAGTAAGTCAGGGAAGTTACCAATGAACCAACTAGAATGAAACCTAGGTGGAAGGCTTCCTGCTGATTGCCTCCAACCATCTGATTCCAACAGAGTTATGGCTAGTTTGGATGACCTCCTACTGTTGGCACTTGAAAGTCAAGTATGACACACTTGACTGTGCTTGAATTTCGATACAGCCTTAAGAACTACACTACAGTATTCAGTATTTCATCTTTGCAGTAAACAAATCAGAATATGAGTTTATTTAGTTGTTGAATGCTATTCCATGCACATCAGTATTCTTTTCAACTATGTCACCAATTCAACTCAGCAAATGTGAATGTGAAATCTGAAATGTGTTAACATACAACCCACCGTTTCTATCTTAAATATAAATACATCTTTCCTGTGTTCAAGGAAAGCATTCGTGCTCCGTTCATAGACGAGGTACTGTGATTGCATATCACTTAAAGAATAAGGAGTGATAAGATTTTATTTCTGCATGTTATTATTTCTTGTATAAGTAGATGTGATTCTTTAACTGATATCGCTTCGAAATCTAACTTCAAATAACAGTTTGTCAGGAAAAAATATCGCTGACTAGCTCTTCCAAGCATCTGATATTCTCTCACGCTTGACCAGATTCAGTTATCGAATCCCTCAATTTTGATGATAGTTTCTTTTACAGAAAAAAGTGGAATACTTTGGTTACAGATATGTGGGCTTGATTGGAGGATTTCATCATGAGCTGATATCAGTTAGAGAACCATTGGAAAACCTGGGAGTACTGGACAGCTGTTTCGTCAGTCTAGTTTGGGACATGTGGATTTGAATAAGGCATTAAGAAGACAAATTTCGCGAGATGATATCATTTCGTAGTTTCTT